CTAGAACTTAGTTATTAACATTCTCTCTTAGTAATAGCTAAGAGCTCTAAGATTACTTAGATAGTTACTCTCTCTTTCTTATATAGCTATTCTAAACACAATCTAGGTTTTAGAGAATGCTTCTCTTTAAGCGCCTACTAATAGTATTACTTTTAGCGCTATAGAGAAAGGCGCTATTCTCTTTTCTAAGAATAATGCTATTAGTATTAATATTATTAAGAGTCTTAATATTTTTAGAGTACTCTACTTCTTCTTAAAATTAGAGAAACTACTAGCAAATATCTTTAAACTTCTAGCGATAGCCTAAGTATATAGCTATATTAGCTATTTCTACTTATTTAGAACACTTAGAGTAAGAGTTCTACTTAAACTTCTCTAGAACTATATTAGAAGCAGGTTATTATATTATATTATTAGTAACGTTAAAGTACTCTTAGATCTTAGACTTAAGCTACTCTAGCTTTATTATTAATAGTAAAGTTTCTAGAATTAGATTAAAACGCTTATATAGTAGACTAAAGTAGTAAGTTCTAATCTTACAATTATTATTCTAATAGTAGCTAACTTAACCTAAATTATAAAAATTATTATAGAGCTTATAGTCTATAATCTTATAGCTTTCTATATTATATATATAATAAGTATTAGAATACTCTACTTAGCTAAATATTACACTTCTCTCTCTAGAAGTAGTATTTTAGGGGGCCTTAGTAATAAAGAAACTATTATTTCTCTTTGTTAGTAGCTTCTTATTAACTATACGCCTAATAAAGTAGAAAGTATTAGTAGGCTTTTTAAATATATAGCTAGTTAAAGAAAGGTATATAAAGTACTCTACTAATACTATATTAAGCTTTATGTTCTTTAGTGTTAAAATAAGATTCTCTACTTCTAAGTTAACTTTAGAAGGTACTATACTTAGTTACTCTTTCTACTTCTTAAAGTCTACTATTATATTCTTTACTTTGTTAGAGTTAAAAGTAGCTTACTTATTAGTAAGTATAATGCGCCTTATCTTTATGTCTATACTACCTTAATCTTAAGTGTGTATCTTATTAATACTATTAGTCTTCTTATAGTGTGCTTTTAAGAAGTAATAGATCTTATCTACGTTATACTTAGTCTAGTTATCTTCTTTAGAGGCATCTAGTATTATAAATATAATAGACTTCTTATTATATTTTAGAAGACTATAGAAGAAGAGAATACCTAGCTTCTTATAAGAAACTTACTTACTAGCAACGTAAGTATTAGATATTGTTATAAAATAAGTATAATACTCTATAAGACTAGGTAGATTACGTATATATTTCTAAATAAAGGCCTATAAGTATAAGCGCTTACCTATCTTAATAGTAGTATTCTTATTAGCCTAGTAGTCTTTTATAGAGAACTTAAGCTTACTCTAGTTCTTCTTTTAGTAGCTAGCTAGCTACTTAATAATATAAAAGAAAGAATAGTCTTTATCGCTAATATAGTCTAGAAGAATAGAGACTCTTATTTAACTAAAGAGGCCTCTATTGTTAGCTTATTAGTTATAGTCTTTAAGAAACTTAGTAACGTCTTTACTAGTAAAGATAAGAGTAGTGTGTCTAGGTTAAACTATTAAGACTATACTATTAGTTGCTATTACTAACAATAGCGTGCTTTCTATTTCTATAATTATTCTAGGTGTTAGGGTCTTAGGTGTTAAAGAAGAAGAAGAAGAATTAGTAGATAAATATTTAGGTAAAGAGATTGCTAGATCTCTTAATGCTTTGCGCTTCTTCTATTTCTTTCTTAGCTATCGCGATTCTAAATAACTTATAAAGAAGCTACTACTTCTTTATTTAAATAAACTATTGCTAAATTCTAAATAATTTATAATTAATAATTTCTTATATTAAAATCTAAATGCCTGTCTCTTTTGTAGAAGAGCCTCTACTCTTTTCTTTCTCTTAGCACTGCTTATTACTTTCTGTACTAATATACTCTATTAAGTTATTAGTTCTATTAAACTTGTAGTTCTACACTATTGTGTGTACTAAATATACTATTATAGTGTTATACTAACCTAGTTAGCCTAGCATTTTATTATAATTTTGATATACTATTCTAGGTATTAGTTAAAATAGTTCTTCTTATTAATTCTAATTAGTTATTATCTCTAGATAATTGTCTTATTCTTTATTACTTAGAGAGAAAAGAAAAGTTAGCCTAAATATAACTATTATAATAGTTCTAGCTAACCTAAATAAAAGAGGTAAGTCTACACTTATAGTATTGTTAGAAGTTAACTTTACTATATATATTACATTAACGTATACTAACTACCTTCTATACTACGTAGTAGAGTACATCTCTATAAGCTTTACTATTTATATAGGTATTAGAGAATATAAAGATATACTACTACAAGTATATAAAGTAGTTAGCATAAGTAAAAAGGTATATAGACGCTAGTTTAGTAGAAAGAGATTCTATTCTAGAAAGATTCTCTAGTCTAAAGCACTATATAAGTATCTAGTATCTAAAAAGCTATTCTAGTCTTAAAGAAAAAGATTAAAAAGATTATCTAAAGGATTCTCTAAAGAATTCCCTCTACTATTGCCTTCTCTTGTATTCTTATCTATTAAAGTTCTTATTCTTGGCAATCTTTAGATGATTAAATAGCCGATTCACACTAAGGAACCCTGTGCACCGGCACAGTATAGGACACAAGAAGGGGACCTTACTTCCGAGTCCAGTTGGGAGCAAGATGTGAGATTCGCCCACAACAAAGTCAACGTTGTTCTGCGAAAGGACGAGAAACGAAGAAAAGCCTTCGAGCAGCAGAAACCCACAAAGCAGAGGTTCAAACTAGATGAAGACAAATTCTATGTCTTCAAAGGGGAGGGCTATGTCCACGGATGCATGGATGGGGAAGCGGTGCGAGAACGATTTTACGGGACGGAGCAAGAGTGGATTTATGAATTACGCTAAGGACGCTGAGGAGGCACTTCATACTATATACTCACACGTAGCAGCGCTGTTAATCTTTCCCCTTCATTCCAACAAACCTGCCCATATCGCCTACACTTCTATTCGTGCTCTTGCGCTTGTGCTCAAAATCATCTGAGATCACGCGATACAACTTCTTCGGATCCTTTTCCTCATCGTGCACAACCCGTTCTTTCCATTGGTTCCACACCTCGGTCCTGGGCAGAATCCCTGACGCATCAACCCACTGCTTCTCGCTCTCGGCATCCCTGAATCCTCTGATCAGGTTCGCAGAAACATTAGGCTGGCCATGCGAGTGAAGCCCTGCCACACAGACGCTGGTACGCCGCACGGAGCCTTGCGGTACATCAGCCCGCAACTTGTCCAGTGTTTCACGTATTTACGGCTTCCTTTGAGCACAAATGCGGAGTTATTGCGGCCCATGATGAACACGGCGTCGGGCGCGTCGGGTTCGTGCACATTCGGGCGTTCGGCGGGTGCGGGCACCACGTTGAAGTACTCGATGAGGCGCAGGATGACTGACCACCCTGTGAACGCCGCGCATGTAGCGTATGACACCCATGTGGTCCCAGGAACTTCATGGATAGCGACCAGCAAGCCTGCAATGAGCAGCCATGTCGTACCCGTCCAGCACGCGATAAATATCTTTGCAGAGCGGCTTGTGCAGTCATGTTCTCTACGCGTCGCAGGTATGCTGAGAACGGTTTATCCTTTATCTTCCAATAATTTGTTATGTCTCAGCGCATTTGCCAATCGAATGTTGCGCAGAGGTGCGCTTTTCACGCCGTACGGCGAGAAATAGGTTTCTGTGCTAGATTCGAGTAATAGGTCGTAGGAGCGGACGTACTTTTGGAGTCCCACGACTGGCGCGGCGGTTGAACACTGCAGGAGAGAGCGCCGACTCAGGCGATAGTTGCGCTCTTCGTCTTCGCTTATCAGCACGATGAGAGAACTGACGTCGAAGGTCCAAGGCTGCTGAGCGGGAGATGCAGCCATCAATGTTTGATGCTGGTAGGGTAGATTAAAGTACATGGGAGTGAAGATATCGAGCGATGAAGGAGTTGTGTGAACTGCAATATATACTCGAGGAGCTGTGGCGCAGGCTGCTTGACCGGTCGGTGAGTGCAACACGCCTCCAAGGCTGAGTGTAATACGGCTTGCCAAATGATCAAAAAATGCCTGTTGAGATTATGCGCGAATATCCTCAGGTGAACTTCCAAGGCCGAGATCTGACAAGGCACCTTGGATGTGATGAATCACTCTTACTTACCTAGGTGGTATACCGAAACAACAGAAATGACGAAGTGGAATATAAAGGGTTTTCGCTAGTGCTCTACTGCGAAAACTCACATTGCGACGCATGAATCCATTTCAGCGCAGGTATTTCTTCGTCGGTACGACCAATTGGCTGAAAGTGTTGTAATGTTCTTAGGAGCTGACCTCGGGAGCGAATAGCTTGCGCTGCTGAACTGAAGCGAAGTTACCAGGGTGTTAAGCGGTGTACTACCCTCTAGACCCTGTTAACCATACACCGGTGTAGTATGACTCATTATCTCAATGCATCATTATGTAGCCAATATCCGCGGGGTACTCCGCTTCCCTCTTCTGGATGATTCGCTTGCATGCCACTGTCTGCCTAGGTAGAGGCGAGGTACTGCAGCTCTTGATGGATTGACTGCCGCGCAAGGCTGAGAAAGTCCCAACGTAGGAAGTCCTCGGAAGATGCTGCTGATATCACGTCAGTCAGTGTTGTTGTCAGCTCGTAAGACCGCCTTAGTGCCGTTTAGCTTTATCCATTGCTACTGTACCTAGGTAGTCACTCCGTCCGCGTTATATTATGCCCTATACATGTGTATGGCCCGCACGCCCCTATTTGAATAATGGCTATGGGTAGCTTAGGGACTGAGCCCAAGAAGTAAGCGTAAGGGAGCGCCTTGACAAAGCCGTTCAGCGTTGGTATACGCATGCCCATTCTTTCAAATATGACCTTATGATCTTTAGAATTAGGCTTCCCGTCAGCTCAACGATATACAAGCAAGATACCGGCGGATTAGTAGTTAGGTGGGTAACTTAAGTAAGGTATGAGTGTTAGGAGATCTTCTATTCTATAGCCCTACTAACTAAAATATTGCATATATTATAGCACTATCTTAGTCTTATGTAAGTTCTTCTTAAGTATTGTAAAAGAGTAGAGACGCTTAAAGAAGTATAGAGACTACACTCACGAAGTCTTTTGTATACTCTTGCTCTTCTTGTGTAGTATTATCTATAATAACATCCTGTGCGGCTTTCTCGAGAATTGTGCCTTGCTAATTTTACACTAAGATACATTGTTTACATCTTTTGCCTTCTCCCTTGCCCTCTTTACAAGCTCGCGCAGCGCAACCATCTTGTGTTCCTCCTTCTCCCCCTCGGCAATCAACTCTTCGAGCAACATGAGATTTTGCTTGACAACCTTACTGCCATGATGAAAAGCATTGAACTCATGCCACTGCAACGGTAGCGCATCCTTAACCGGCATCTCCATGAACCTCGCCGTAACCCACGATCCAAACAGCATTGCCATCAGCTTTCCCGTCCAGCCATATCGTGGCAGGCTAAACATCTCAGCTTGCGCCCTGAGCATTAGATTCCACACCTCTGTATTTTCGCGGAGTCTCGGCAGCGTGCGCCACCCGTCTATACTTTCTGCCATCAGCTGCACCATTACGACCATAATAAGACCGGATGATTCCAAGAAAGCTGGCATGGCCCTAACGCGTAGTTTTGGGTGCTTATTGTACACGTCGCTGAACGCTTTGACAAGTTTTGGGTTCGTGTTAATCAAGGTCATTCCATAATTTCCGGTGTTGTATGAGAACAGTATGTCGGCTTGAGCGATCAAGCTGGCGTCGGCAGAGGCGGGGATCGGGATGCTTTTTGTTGGCTGGTGCGCGAGTATACTTCCGCAGAAGTTAAGTCGCTCTTTAGAGATTTTCATTGTGCTGGCGTAGTAATCTACCATGTCGATTCCCATAGCACCGAAGAGGACAAAAGTCGAGGGATGGTCGCGGATTAAATCGCCCACAGCTTTGATTGTGGCTTGGCCGGATTCAGAGCGCGCAGTGTGCCCGTCTAGCGTGTCGAGGACGCAGAAGAATTCCTCGTCAGCAACTTCGTTCGGCGATTCGATAATCCGGTAGTGTTCAAAGGTGCGGAGTATGTTCTCTTTGTAGTCGTAAAGTTTCTTGGGTCCTTTGAACGCTGAAGTGCGGCCAGGTCGTACAAGATATGTGATGTCGGCGCCGGAAGAGAGAATATGTCCCTGCGTCAGGCCAACAGCTCCGCAACCAACGATGAGGATCTTTGTTCTCGACATTTTAGAACTAGGCAGAGTGAAGAGAAGGAACTTGAGAATACGGGCTTTTCTTGTGTATATAGAGTGCTGTTCCTCCGCCGTGTTTTGTCCGTCTGTCGGATCAAGAATATCGGTAGGTACGTTGGCTGCTTACCACCTGGCGCTGCCCAAGGTACCCACCTCGATCTACTTCAATTCGACTCATGCCGAGCTCAGGTATACCTTCGTAGCACCCACATTCATAGATAAACATACCAATACCTAGAACAAAAGAACCTCGTTGTTGTTATCACCCGTACGATCGTACAAGGCCTACCAACACCGTTCTATTTCACTTATCGGGCCGAGAGCGCAGCGTTGAACAGGTTTCGGAACACGCGAGAGCTATATCTCAACCCGTTACCTTCTTTTCCGTATTCTTCGTATCGCCTTTCGAAGAGGGAAAAGCTTTCATTCGGTCAGAGAAAGCGCCGAGAGAGAGCAAATACAGTTTGGATTATGCAACGTGCACGACGGCAGCGAAACGAAAAACGACAATAAGTATGATCTATCCCAACGAACAAGTGGTGCCAAATTATGCCACATCAATTAATGCGAAGTACAGAGCGATGATATTACGCCAAAAATCCAATGTGTCACAATATAGCATTGTAGAATAGTGCGGGTTGCGATAATACTTCGTAGTCGACGATAATGAGCCTCGTCGGAGATCCTACTTAGCTAAGACTGTAACATTGTAACCTTCGAGCTCAGCCTTACTCGCGAGGGCTCCTAATTTCTCATCATAATCGACTGGTCCAGCGGCCCAGCCAAATCTAGCCATTCTGAGCATTGCCTCTTGGGTCATACTATTGGCCTTCGTGAGCGCCGCTCCTTCGCCGTTGAAGTAACTGGGGGTGCAAGATTGAAGTGCCGCATACCATGCGGCAGTCTTTTTAGCTTCCTCTCCCCACATGTTTTCACTTTCGGGGTCAGCCTCAATGATGAGCCGCTGACCATCCTTCGCCTTGACATGTGCCTTTTTAACGGTTTGTGCAAAATATTTCGCCATCGTGTCAAAGACTGAAGTGAAATTCCAGGCAGCTGGAGAGCCGCGGTTGAAATGACCAAAAAGGTTGGGAAAGTTGCTCATCGCAATGCCAAACACTGGTGGGTTGCTCGCGGTCTCGAATTTGTGGGCGATTGTTTCTCCGTTGCGACCCTTGATGATAGCATTGAGTTTCTCAGCAGGGTCTATGCCGGCAGTAGCAACAAAGCCGGTTGCGAGTATAAGAGCGTCGATTTCGTATTCTTGGCCGCCGACCACAAAGCCATTCTCAGAGTATGCGTCCATGCCCTTGCCATCGGTGTCAATCAGCGTGACATTGGCTTGGTTAAATGCTTCCAGGTAGTCGTCGTGGAAGGTAGGGCGTTTACACCAGCTACCGTACCATGGCTTCAGCTTCTCGGCCGTGTCCTTATCCTTGACCACGTCATCAATGCGCTTGCGCAATAGGTCAGTGCGCTGCCGATCAAGTTTGTGGAGATCACTGATGTGTTTTCCAACATCCTGTGCTTCGACAATTTTCCAAGTCGAACCCAAAATGCCTGCGCTAGCGGGAGTGTGAGTCCACCCATCGTTTACCAGATTGGGCTCATGTCCGTCGGTGCTGTTGGTAGTCCAGGCATTGAAGTTAATTCGCCGACTATTCTGCCACCCTTTCTCCTTGGAAAGAGCTTTGAAATGTTCCTCATCAGTCAAGCGATTACCACGATATCCGCAGTACGATGGCGTCCTCTGGACGACGTACACATGTTTTGCCCATTTGGCCAATTCGGGCACAATTTGAACTGAGGTCGCACCAGTACCGACTATCGCAACAACTTTGTCTTTGAGTTTGTGTAAGTCCGGTTGCTCCTGGTTGCCACCAGTGTATTCGTAGTCCCAACGAGCCGAATGGAACACTTGTTTGTTGTTGCGAAGTTTCTCCCAACCTGGGAGCTTTGGAATTTTCGGTACATTGAGAACGCCTCCAGCAATGACGACGAATTCAGCAAAGACTGTGATGGTTTCGGGCTTTGCGTTCTCCCCGAGAGTACGGGTCATGGTCACGACCCAAACCCCTCTGTCGTCATCCCATATCTGCGAGTCGATCTTCGTACAAAACTGGCCTTGAATGCCGAAGTGCTTCGCAGCGCGCTCATTTTGGCCTCGGATCTCGGCACCGTAGGAGTATTTGTGCTTAGGAACGTAACCAGTTTCCTCAAGGAGCGGCAGATAGATGTAACCCTCTACATCACACATGAGCCCAGGGTAGCGATTCCAGTACCTAAACGTATCATTAGCAGCGGCCTATTTACGAACACGAGGGTGGAGAGCATACCAGGTACCGCCGAAGCCGCCAGCTGTATCAACGCACACGATATCGCGTCCGCTGAATCCAGCCTCTGCCAAGCGACAGCCAAAGAGGAGTCCGTTGTGTCCAGCACCAATGATCAAAAACTTGATGCTACTCCCGTCTTTTAGAGGTGGGTTCTGGATCCGGGGATCATTGTAGTCTACCCATGGGTCTTTGGCAAGATCTTGGATTTCTTTCGATCGAACGTTGATATATTGTCCCTCACCGGCTTCGGTGAGCCTCTTGTCGCGCTCCTTATGGTATCGCTGAAGCAACTGCTCCTGGTCGTCATGTGCGATTGGGCCCTGAGACATTGTGATGGTGTTGTGATGGTGTTGTGCTTTGGGTAGTAAAACTTGATTTGAAAAACTGGGTGCGCTGCTGGAAACAACTGTTTTATGCTGTACGGAAGACACTGTCAACAAGGGTTACCGTGTCGACTGTGAGCCTCCACTCGACGGGAAATGGGATCGAGGTGGACACGTCGCCATCTGCATCGTCCGGAGCCGGGAAATCTGTCAGCCTCAGAACCTTGTGGTACTACATCCATCCCAGACTGGACTGCTCTTCGAACTTCCAGCCCACATAGACCGTGCATGTGCTCGGAATTCCGAGTACCGGCCTCGAACATCACATCTGGCTACACAATACTCAATGTGATATCCTAGGCAGAGTTGCCTGTACGGGGAGTGCGGGAGTAAGACAGCCGAGAAGCAGGGAGCAATGACTTGAGCGCCGTCGAAACAAACATTGTAAGAGTGTATGTCGGTGAGAGCGAGTTTACCATACGGAATATCGGAACATCAACATACCAGCCAACCAGTGCATAGCGGGCTACCTAGGTGGAGGTCCTCCGAGCTTGACTAGAATTGGCGGACGGCTTACCGGATCACTAATGTACCGGCCAATTAGCACACAGTTAGTTTAGAGCCTACTAAATCTAACTTGAACGCCGGAGGCAACAACGCCGAGGACCCGAACTTCGGCCCGCCCGACGCTGCACTTCTGAGAGTAGGCTTGTGTCTAGAAAACCTTTGGAAATACGCTTTTCTATGTACTAGCAACGGACCTTGCTCTTTTGGGGCTAGCTTTTGTGTTATACTTATGGTTTGGTGTTTTGCATATTAATAAAATATGCAAAGGGAAATAGATACTTCTCTAAAACAGCCCAAGTCGCTAAATATATCAACTCCGATCGGTCCATCTTCCACCGCCCTCTCCAGGTCTAACTCCAGCCTTCTTCTCACTACCCGAGAACTTTGCCTCTTCCTCTTCCCACTTCTTCCGCTCTTGGCGTCTTCTCGCTGAGTAGGCGCGCGAAAACCTCCAGGCTTCCGTGTCCGCCAAATTCCACTGCTCAACAGCTTCGACTACTAGCTTCATGTTCCTGTCCTTGCTCTTAATGGCCTCGCGTGCCTTTTTCAACCGCTCTTCTTCCTTCTCGATCCACTTTTCGTCCGGTATGTCGATACCCTCGATGGGCTTGGGGGGGTCTGGGCGCGGGAAGACGATGAGTTCAGACTCCTTGCTTGGTGAACTGGGCTCGGCATTCGCAGAGGCGTTCTGGGGTAGACCGAAGCCGAAGATCCAGTCTAAATCGTCTTGGGTGATGCGCTCGGCTGTGAGCCATAGAGTGTGGGCGGGGGCTGCTGCTACAAGCTCCTTGAACTTGAGTACGCGGTACTCCTCAGTGTGGTCGTCCGGGATAGATTTGTCCGTCAGCTTCTTAATCCACAGGTCCCGTGCTGCACTATTGCGCAGGAAGTTTTTGTCTATCATGTCCCGCGTGTAGTGTAACGAGGTAAGCGTATATGGATGGGGAACGGTTCCGATCGTGAAGAACTTAGTTGTGTTTACAAATTCTGGGAACAGCTGAAGCCTCATTCCCTTGTTGGCATCGCACGGTTTGCACTTTGGTCGATTCGGTGGGCACGACTTGGGCATTGGGGTAGTCGGACATTGCGTCAGGTTACGCGCAATGTCCGTTGTTTCACGTAAAAGGGCAGTCGTGTGCTCCGGCGCAGGCTTGACTATTACCACACCTTCTGGATGCTGCTCTTGCCAGGTCAGGTGGAGATGCGAGTTGACGAGGTTCGCGAGTAAGTCGAGGGCCTCGGCTTGCGTTGTGTTGGTAAACTTATCAGCAACCGTCTTGTACTTGCTGGAGATCGTAGCCATGTTGTAGGATGCGATGCCGTCGGCCTTGCTGTCTGAGTTCATGTCCTTCGTGTCCAGGAGGTTGACGATCGGACCACCTTCTTTTTTGGCGAGCTTCAACAGCTTATCCTTGCTCGCGGTGACATTTTTCAGCAGCTCGTTGCCCATGACCTTCTTGATCGCATCATCAACCATCATTCGATCTCCAAAGAAGATGGCGTTATCCAAGGACTGGACTCTCGACAGCTTGGCGTATTCGTTCCGTCGCAAAAAGCTCAGCATCGGGTTCTCGTACTCGGCCATGGGCAATGCGAGCCAATTGACAAGAACACCGCCACCCATGTGCCCCCAGGCCAGCCAGCGCATGACCTCGAACTCGATCTTTGGATCCAGCTTCATGCGCTGGAACAGCTGATATTGTGGGTGGTGCATAGCCTCAGCACGAGACAAGACAACAGGCTTGAAGCCCTGTGCCCACCACGCCCGCCGCCATGCCAGTATCAGCCGCTGTTCTGCCGCAGATACTTCTTTGTCCTGCTTCTTCGGTACGTCATAGTAGGTATAAACCGGCGGTCGTTCGCGTAGTGGAGGTAGGAGGGCGGTGTTCTCATCGAGAGTTACGCGGGAGGAGAATGGATTGCGCCATTTGAAATCACTGAGCCATTCTATAGCGCCGTAAGCACTGGCCGTGGTACTGTTTGCCTGAACCGGTGGCTTGTGTGCTGAGGGACCGAAGGGTTTGGGTACAGCTGGCAGCTCGCCCAGGTCAGGCAGGTGAGCTTGCGGGTGCTTTACGGCATCGGCAACTTCGTCATAGGTCGGGATACTGTCGCGTGTTGGAGTTCCGTAAAAGGCAAAGTTTACTATGACGAAGAGCAGAATGATAACGATGACCTGGAATCTCCTTGGGGGCATCTGCAGCGCAATGGGCCGGCCCATGAAGGTATGCTGAATCGGCATGGCGTAAACGGGTGAAGAAGTGCTGGAGTCGAATACAAGGGAAACTATGGCAACACTGGCGACATGGGCGCTTTCAGACTACTGGAGCCGGTATCCGTGGTGGGCCTGATGTCGCTGATTGAAGGTAACTTTGGAAGGCGGCGCGAACGCAGCTCCGCTAGGCGATGCTAACAAGCTTTGAAGCAAATGTAACGAGCGACGAAAAGGCACAAAAAAACGCAGGAGTCGCAGATGTTGCACACGCCGGGTGACGCGTCGTGCTAAGGGAACGTTTCCAGTTTGGCGAGGGCGAGGTGCAAGGCTAGCGCAGGGCTGATGATGCGCCCCGGACATCCCACGCGTTTCGAGCCTTCGGTGGTGGGGGTCGCCCTGGCCGATGTCGCCTGAGTCGAGCATTTTGACGGGATGCGTCATACCTCTTCTCTCACTTTTGGTCTCTACGACATTGCTGTCTCCTTCAATGCTCCAATCCTAAAGGCGGTGGGAAGAACAATCACACCAAGCCTAAACTTCGTACTCTCTTCTGTCCGCTCACGTTCCAATTGACGTCCGCGAACTATCTACGCGCATGCGCACACTTACAACGCGACCCCGCCATATATCTCCTTGAACATGCAGGAACAGGTACGCGCGACAATGGCTTCACTGACCAAAGGAAGCATCCCGGATCCGACCGCAGACCTTCACTGGTCTGATTTCAAGGGACCCATCCACGAGATCTTTGCAGGCAATGCCCGCAAGCACCCTGAGCGGCCGTGCGTAGTAGAGACGGCTACCAGCAAGACACCCGAGCGCAGGTTCACATACAAGCACATATTTGAGGCTACCTCAGTACTAGCTCATCATCTGGTACAAAATGGCGTCCAAAGAGGCGAGGTGGTTATGATCTTTGCTCATCGTGGCGTGGACCTAGTCGTAGCCATCATGGCTGTTCTGGCGGCAGGAGCGACCTTCTCAGTACTAGACCCGCTGTGAGTCTAGATTGCCACACAGAGAGTGATCTACTGACATGACTAGATACCCCCCAGACCGCCAATGCATCTATCTCGAAGTCTCCCAGCCACGCGCACTCGTAGTCATCGACAAGGCCACCCGCGAAGCCGGTCCCATCTCCGAGCAAGTGAGGAACTACGTCAAGGACAACCTACAACTCCGGACAGAGGTACCCGCGCTCGAGCTCAAGGACAATGGAACCCTCGTGGGAGGCTCCAAGGACGGGAATGACGTGCTGGAGGAACAACAGAAGCTCAGGGCCGAGCTGCCAGGCGTGCTGGTCGGCCCAGACTCAACACCCACACTTTCCTTCACATCAGGGTCAGAGGGAAAGCCCAAGGGCGTCAAAGGCCGGCACTTCTCGCTGACACACTACTTCCCATGGATGGCCGAGACTTTTGGACTGTCTGAAAACGACAAGTTCACCATGCTCTCTGGCATCGCCCACGACCCCATACAGCGAGACATCTTCACACCACTTTTCCTCGGTGCGCAACTACTCGTACCCAGCAAAGAGGACATACAGCACGAGAAGCTCGCCGAGTGGATGCGCAAGTATGGCGCGACAGTCACACATCTCACACCCGCCATGGGCCAGATTCTCGTGGGAGGCGCTTCAGCCATCTTCCCAAGCCTACATCACTCCTTCTTCGTGGGCGACCTACTAATCAAGCGCGACTGCAGGAGGTTGCAGAACTTAGCACCCAATGTACGCATCGTCAACATGTACGGAACCACAGAGACACAAAGAGCTGTCAGTTACTACGAGCTACCGAGCTGCACCGAAGCGCCCGAATTTCTTGATACCATTGGTGAGGTCATCCCGGCTGGTCGTGGCATGAACAACGTTCAGCTTTTGGTAGTCAACCGCGAAGATCGGACAAAGGTTTGCAAGCCTGGTGAGAGTGGTGAGATATACGTACGAGCCGGAGGGCTGGCCGAGGAATACCTAGGTCTGCCTGACTTGACTGCAACCAAATTCGTTGACAACTGGTTTGTGGACCAACAGAAGTGGATAGACGAAGACAACAAAAAGGTGGAAAGCCAAGGTGCCGCTGAGCCATGGCGAGAGTCCTACAAAGGTCCACGAGACAGACTCTACCGCTCTGGAGACCTGGGCCATTACTCTGAGGATGGTAACGTACACTGCACGGGTCGAGTCGACTCGCAAGTCAAGATTCGCGGCTTCCGTATCGAGCTTGGCGAGATCGACTCACATCTCTCTGCCCATCCTTTGGTGCGTGAGAACGTCACCCTGTTGAAGCGTGATGCCTATGAGGAGCCAACACTAGTCAGTAAGTTGGTATCTCTGCCCGACGCTGTCTTTTGCTAACATCATAGGCTACATCGTCCCTGAGATGAAGCGTTGGTACGACTGGCTCGAGGAGCGTGGTGCGAAAGACAGTGATTCTGCCGAAGACACCAGCATGGTCACGTTATTGAAGCGCTTCAAGTATCTACGAGATGATGTACGAGAGCACCTGAAGAAAAAGCTCCCTGCGTATGCGGTGCCGTCGATCATTGTCCCGCTCATTCGATTTCCGCTGAACCCGAACGGCAAAATTGACCGACCGGCACTGCCCTTCCCAGAACCAGCGCATCTAGCAGCCGCGGGTGCAAGACGACCCTCACAGCTGGGTGCGGCCTTGACGCCAACTGAGAAGATCATGGCCGGTATCTGGGCTGAGCTTCTGGGCGACCGCGGTGTGACAGCCGACGGCATCAGCGGAAGCGATTCCTTCTTCGACCTCGGAGGCCATAGTATCATCGCTCAACAACTGCTCTTCAAGATCCGGCAAGAATGGAGAGACATTGATGTGCCAATGACCACGATCTTCCAGTACCCAACATTGCGAGGCTTCTCAGCAAACATTGATCAGGCTATGGATCCTATCGGTCTGCGTCTGGACACTGCCGAGGCCATCGATGAGGATCCAGAAGACGAGGCATACTCTGCCGATGCCAGAGAACTCGCTAATCAACTGACCGAGTTCAAGACTAGAGAGCCGTTGAATCCCAAGGAACAAGTACACACTTTCCTTACTGGTGCGACAGGTTTCTTAGGTGCTTACATTCTACGAGACATCCTGTCCAGACCCGGAAAAGTTACAGTACTCGTCCGCGCACAAGACATCGATGCTGCACTCGGCCGTGTCAGGCAAACCTGCTCTGCATATGGCATCTGGGAAGATGGCTGGGAATCACGCCTGGAGCCTCTTGTGGGTGATCTAGAGAAAGAGAACTTTGGTCTTGAACCGAACACTTGGAATAAGCTCGCAGACTCTGTCGACGTTGTGATCCACAATGGCGCATTGGTACACTGGGTGTTGCCATACTCACGTCTTCGCGGACCCAACGTCATCTCCACCATGACCGCTCTCTCGATGTGTGCCGCGGGCAAACCCAAGAACTTCGGCCTTGTTAGCTCAACATCAGTGCTTGATACAGACTACTTTGTCAAGTTGTCTGAGAAGAGTCTGGCGAACGGCGGAACTGGCGTCCCCGAAGAGGACGATCTGGAAGGTGCTCGCAAGGGCTTGGGCACTGGATACGGCCAGTCTAAATGGGCAGCCGAGTATCTCACACGACAGGCTGGCCAGAAAGGTTTAAGTGGCTGCGTTATTCGTCCCGGCTATGTCTTGGGAGACCCGGAGTATGGCACCACCAATACCGACGACTTCCTCGTGCGTATTCTCAAGGGATGCATCCAGCTCAAGTCGCGACCCGACATCATAAACACCATCAACATGGTTCCCGTGACCCACGTTGCTCGCGTTGTTGTGGCATCCTCGTTCAACCCACCTATTGCACCCCTAGGGGTCGCGCAGATTACCTCGCATCCCCGTATCACCTTCAACGAGTTCTTGGGAACCCTTGAAACCTTTGGCTACAATGTTCCTCTTGTTACCTACCAAGAGTGGAAACAAAACATGGAAGCCTATGTCTCGGACCGCTCTGGCACGAAGGAGGAAAACGCTCTCCTACCACTGTACCATTTTGTGACTGGAGATCTGCCTGCTGATACCAAGGCACCTGAGCTCGACGACAAGAACGCGGCAGAAGCATTAAAGAAAGACCAAGCATGGACAGGTGAGGATTGGAGCAAGGGCGGTGCGGTGACGGAGGACACTGTAGGTGTGTACGTCAGTTATCTGATCGAGCTGGGCTTCATGCCGAAGCCGGAGAAGAAGGGCATCAAAGAGCTGGTCATGAGCCGACTGACGGATGCTATGCGGGAAGGCATGAAGCTGGTTGGTGGTCGAAGGGGTGTCTAGATCATCCTCGCCAGACCCGGTAGTGCACGTTGAGGTCATATTTAGCAAGGGATCTGATCTTCCATTTAGAAGAAGATAGAGAAAAAGCACACTTTTTTCAAGTTAACCAATGCTACACCCGATGTATACATATCGGAAGTGCCGGACGCTCGTGGTTGATCGCGATGTCCTCATCGAGACTAACACATCGTTTGTTGACGCTGAAGCATGCAGGTGCTTAGGCGCTCTGTCCATCGCGACTTCCATTTACGTCGAGTGACATCACAGCGCCACCAACGTTACAACACCCCGCGCCATACATCATCCTTGTTCGCAGTGCCAGTTGCCAACCGACTTTTGCCTTGCAGCTTACATTTCCTTCCAACATTATACCCGGTTCGCTAAAGTTGTCCGCGGGGCGGGACAGAACTCCGCCATGCTGTGTATTACCACCGGCTGTGGCTTACAGCAGAACGCTTATCGCCAGATCACGAATGGATTCAATGCCAAGGGGCACGCGGTGAATGCAACGACACTGAGGGCCGACGTCACTGACAGCGCTTCGTGCTGTATGGCATGAGGCATTACCAAAGGAATGGTAAGTTTAGTCCGGTCGCTGCTGTCCCTTCGATCAGGGTGCGAACAGCATGCCGAGAAAGCGACGGGCTTATCAAGGTCAAAACAAAGCACATGATGAAGACCGAGCCAGCGTAGGCAGCGGACGCCAGGACAACTGGCGCCTTCAACAGAGTATCTGAGCTTCTCATGTGCCAATGCCAAGATCAAGATCAGCAAGGCCAACTTCGTTTCAGCCACGCTTGGAGCCCGGATTCAGACTCTGCAAAGCAACTTGCAGCTATTTCCGCCAACAAACGCTATCAAATGCGCTCCGCCGTTCCGACTTGTATTGGCGATGCGACACAAGGAGTGCTCGCAACGTTGCACCGCGGGGCCGCAACCAGCCGCGCCTCTGTGGCCCCCTCTGGTGTCTAGGCGGATTGGAGAACCGCATTGGATTCTTGTGGGGTGTCATGCCTGTGGTACAACAGTCCACGATCCGTAGGTTCAATATTTCCTAGGCACAGCATCACGCATCCAGCGGACACCCTAGACGGACCATGGTAGCGCTTGTTTCCGGCTTGGCGCGTCCTCTGAGGACATTGCACACGACAACGAGGAGCACCAGCGTGCGGCGGTCCGTTTGCTCAGCGTTGCTCAGCATCGTCGGCGCGGGCCAAGACAAAGGACGAAGATGATGAAGATGAGAGCTGGGGGCTCCAACGACATGAGGCCAGGTCGCTGCCGCGAATTCCGTCTTTGGTCTGAGCGGCGTCTGGAAGAGAGTTGCGCTGGGACCGCCCACGCGAGCCGTGATTGGCCGTCCCCGTCTTGAGACGCTCTGCCCAGCCCCAATGCCGAGCCTTGGGGATGAAAGCCAAGCCCAAGACCTTCTCCCAAGGTCTTGAGAGCGTAATTGTATGTAACAAGAGTCTTGCCTCTCCTGAGGGAAGTCTCCGCCTCTTCTATAACATGCCCGGCACCTCATCGACTTCGCATGTCTCAAAGGGTCGTTTGATGCCCGTCAACCAGTGACGTCGACTACCAATTGCCGGCAATGGAATCCCAGCGTCCGCCGGTGTCATGTTCGGCCATTCCCCCCCAGCAGAGCCAACCGCTGCCCCAGCTATCAACCAACGCATCCCCCGACGAGTACAACTACGCATACAACGAGAAAGAGCCATACCAGCGACAACAGACCATCCGCATAGACCGTCATAGCAAGTCGAGTTTTGGCCGTGGCCATGATTCCGTCATCTCGCACCCGTTCTCGCCAAAGGCATCCTCTGCGCCAAGCCCCTGCAGCAGCATCTCCTCGATCGGCCAACAACGAAACTCAACAGCCGAAATCAGATACTCTAGATCAGAGATAGAACGAGGAAGCATACAATATCCACAACAAGCGCATCTTGATCCCGAGAAGCATGGCTACGGTTCGTCGCAAGGCCGCCGATCTCCAAACCGCGTCTCTGCCGCTGGACCAGACGCCGATGCGATTGTCTACGATAAAGGCGCCTACCATGAGAAAGGCCCAGAGGAGAAGGCATGGCAGTTATTGGTATGTGTTCTACTTTCTCCAAGCTCTCTGGAGCGTGGCTAACAATTTGCAGTTTTGGCTTTGCGGCCCCTGTGCTTTCCTCTCGGGCGCCATCGCTCTCTGGACGATCTTCGCTCTCTTGATCTCGCTCGCACTAGCACCCTTACGCTTCTGCACCAAACGCCCGTCATTATCGGAACAAATCACAGCCTTCCTTGCACCAGCGCTGAACCTGCAACTTCACCTGGTCTATTCCCACGACTCAACGACCGGCTACAGTGCGCCTATGCTCGTCGTCATTCACCTGTTTTCACCAGTCGTCGCATTCGGTGTCGCAATTGCCGCATGGACCGCTGCAGGATTCTGGTTTTTCTCGTTGATATTAGGAGACCCTGGAGGTCACGACGGACACAACGACGGCAAAGAGAGCATCGTCGGCGTACGGAACTGGTGGGAACGATGGCTCTCGAGGGGACTGCGAGAGACGAATGTTTGAAGAGGAGGCTATTGCTACGACGACGAGTTTTTGTTTTTACCGTTCGCCCAGTGATGGGACGAGCGATGTTTAAGCGGCATATACCATGGCGTACTTTTGTTTTGAGGGGCATCGGACATGAAGGAATGCTGATCTGGGACGACAGCACGGCGTTATTGGGCCTCTCTGTGTAAGAGTAGGAGAGCAAACAGAGCTCGACATGATATACCCCCATTTTACTCGAATACTACAACATCTCTACAACATCCACAACGTCTATTGCACATGTTATTCGCAATTGGCAGTGTACCTCGTACGAAACACTTTACACCGTTACCTTTCCAAGCAGGTAAACCGCGCTCCCAAGCCACTACCCACGCCTTACCAAGAAATCCAGGCGCAAACTCACCCGTACTCAGCCCCTCGGCCCCTCCAATGCTTCGAACAACGCCACACGCGTCCAAGATGCATGGCACGCAGAGAGCGGAAATCCAGTTCCCCCGACCCCCCGATCCAATCTAATTGCAAGCCACACGTGGGTATTGAGCATGTTAAGAGCCCAATGCTTACCGCCGCTCCGCCATTCCGCTACATTTGTTTCGACACGTTATCTACTCACCGCAACGTGAACTTCTTCTTGCGGCAGACTTGCCGTCCAAGACTCGTGCCAATACCGCCCAGGTTCCGCCGCGGATTCATTGTTTGCGCTATGGGGCTCCGCTCGGGCTTGGGCTGGGGAAGAAGGAAGGGGTGGGAAAAGCAAGGGGGCGGTGGAATGTTGGAGAGTGTAAACAGAGCACATGTTTGGAGAGTGGGATTGAAGGCCTTGAGATGAGTGGCAAGCTACGAATATCCTAATACAAACCTACCCTTTGTCTACAGCATCTTGCCCATCACCTAGTAAACCCGCGCATTCCTCGTAGTTGGTCAATCACACCACCGACCCTTCACAGTGACACAAACCGGGTATCCCCATCACAACCGCCAAGGCCAACACCAACACGCAATGCACCAAGAACCCCAAGCAGAGAATTATAGTAATCCTCTCGTGATGAGCGGAATAATCTCGTACCTGCGTGGATTCCTACGTAAGAAAGCCAAGACGTATTACGGTGGGGTTTCGCCGAGTGAGAGATCCACGGACAGATGTGGTTTCATGTGGTTGCGCGTCGCTGGCGCGTTCGGTTTACGACGCTGAGTATGTACGTATGTGCAGTGTAGTGAAGACAAAGGAAAGAAGTGGCCGGATACAAGACGGATATGTCGGCTTGATAGCACTCTTAGGTAGCTAGGATAGACTCTGTGGGTGTGGCGCGTATGTATTGCCCATTCCCCGATTCCAGTCTCTTGGGAACGGACAAGCTGGGCGATGAGTGTCGCAGTTGTAGATCTTTAGCTTATCCGGGTAGTCGCGATCACTGTACACAACATACTGTACTGCAGTCTGGCGATATGAGACCGATTGCTTGGAGTTAGGTGATGAGCAAAATGCTCAAGGGAAAGTTCCGCGCGGGAAAAGGCCCGAGGAGATGAGTGAGCTAGACTTCTCGGTCCTTTTCCTTTCCTTCTGCGAGCTGCGTTTGCGTTCGTTGCCAATGTGAAACCAGGGTGCCCATCTGACGTGTGTCTGGGCATGCGGATATCACGGCTTGCGCTGTTTATGCAATGGGTGTGATCGTCGCTGTGTTATGTGAAGATGCGGCGCGCGGTGTTCAAAAGCGCTGAATACATAGGAACGGTATGCTGATCGTGTGTACTTGTTTGAGAAAGTGTTTGTATTCATCGAGTTGAGCCTGCGCTGGGGTTTTGATGCGCAATTGTAGATTCGTGTCCGTATCTATCGTGCTCGTGACGTACTCTGCTATGATCTAGAAAATCTTGACAAAAACATTAGGCCATTAGACATGAGAATAAAGGTATGTGTACAGGAAAAAGTATGTATAGTACAAGAAGGATAAGAGGCGGAGAAAGCGGCGCTCCGTCCGCGTTCATACGAAAGCTTTGGCTTTGGTGTGGAACTTGTGTGCGGGTCGTGAGACGGTATGTGTAAGGTCTCTGTTGTCGCATTGCGACTCGAATGGCTAACTGGCGATACCAAAGGACGCATTCGTATACAGCTGATCGTGTAATGGTGACGAATGTTGCTTTGCTTCGTCGTTTTGCTCCTGTCAATGGCGGCATGATGTGCGGTCGTGTTATCATCTCCGGTTAGGGAAACTTCAATCGTTCCCGCTCGAATGTACTTGTCGTATAGTAATCTGACTCTTCATCTTCTTATGGCCTCTACCTCGCATAGTCTCTCTCGCCATACAATTCTTCAAACACTGTTCAACAATCGAGGGGTCGTTGTCAAGGAACTGCTCGTTCAAGAACCAACTTGAGCTCCTTTGTACAGACAGCCGTAAACAACTCCTCTCACTCCCGATTTGTTTCTGAAAATAATGATCGAGGAAGGCGTAGGAATCGTCAAAAGTCTTGTAGCAGCTGTTGCATGCAAAGGTCGCTTTGTCGTTCGTCGCCATTGGGTCTAGCGCAATGTGCGAAGTGAAGAGTATACATCTGGACGCTGGCAGTCCGGAGTGTGCGGCGACAGAGATGCACGCGTCACAGTGTGGGCAGATTTCGCGGTCATCGTGTTTATCGTGTGGGAAAGCTTTCTTTGCGCGTAGTGTACTTGATTTGGATTCCTTGAGATCTTTCCGGAGGCTGTCTGCGAACGGGCAGAACTCTACTTTGAAACGTGGAGGGGGTAGAATGGGCGATAGAATGGGCGATTCTAGACGTGCGTATTGTTCGCGCAGGGCAGTAAGGCAGGCGCGACGGACGCTTTTGGCGGTCGTAATTATGTCGTCAATGGGTATCGTTGGTGTCGAGGAGAAAACGCTGTCGTAAAGTGGTTGCCTGATTTCGTATTGGATTCGTAGGAGCTGTGCTGAGAGGATGGTGTTGCATTTTGCTACACATGGTCAGTCTCTATAACCTCGGTATTGAATCGCGAACTTACTGTCGCCTTCCTCGAATCGTACCCCGAATCTTGCTTTTCCTTGCTCCATAATCCTTTGGATTTGTCGCCCCAGACTCAGAGCTTTGCCAACAGCATCGTCGCGGTTCTTCGTGCCGAGACACAACCATTTGGAACGCGTGCGACGGTGCCGCGCCTGCCATTGCTCATATGCTTCATGCGCATCTTGGAATTCGCGATCGATATCCCATAGCGTAAGAGACCCATGTGTCGATTTCTCCCACGAGACAGCCATGTTAGACATTATACGATAGTAACACGCGTATACAATCGCGCAAAAACAAACAAACAAGAAGGATGCGGGGAAAGCGAGCGAGCGACAAAGGTGAGTTTCAGAAGGGAACAACTATTCTTAAAGCAGGAAGAGGTCTACCGTATGGGGAAATATCTCCAAACCGCACGATCTCGATTAAGACGCAGAAACCTGAAAACGCAAGGGCATTGAGAAAACAGGGTCCAGAAGCTTGCGGGTGCTGCGCTGGCTTTACATACAGCTGCGCGATGCTATGTCATGTCACCTGCAGGTACCAGGGCCCATCGCATAGGGAGGCTCGCAGGCGTGGAAATTAACTGCATATCCATTGCCGTGGCTGTGTGGCGGGTCTGGGCGATATTGAAGGATTGAAGAAGCGAAAGTTGCTCCGGCACCTCACTCCTTTTTCCAATGGTACGCAAGCTCATATGCGCCGCCGATAAAGAACGACAGGTCCATGTGGGAACATGCTGGTCCGTGAAATTCAGAGAACGGAACTATAGCTGGTAATCATATCGAGGGAGCCGAGGATCGTGATGAAGATGCAGGGGCAGCAGCAGTGATCCCTCGCGCCATGGTCCGAGCACTCCCGTATCCTCCGATTAAGGACGCCTTATTCGAGTCGTGGCACGCTACGGTAATGACAATCACCTCTGCATTGAAATGGCCTTAAATACGGTCGTCGAGGTTGTTCATGCGAGCGGCGTGTCGTCGCCTGTCAGCCTATCGTCGGTGTTATTGAGTGAAGCTTCGCTACCAGGGTTGCGCCGGATTGAACCCCACGTCTCTCGTCGTGTCGTGCCCCACCATGGAGATCCTCGAGCTTCCCTCCTGCTTGCTGGCTTACTCTGTTGATTGATAGTCATACTACATCATACAACAATGTCTCACGGCCACTCACACGAAGGCGCGTCGCATTCGCATTCGCACGAAGCCGCGGATCACGGCCACACGCATGAGATCCTCGACGGGCCGGGGAGCTACCTGGGTCGCGAGCTGCCCATCATCGAGGGAAGAGACTGGGAAGACCGGTCCTTCACTATTGGAATTGGAGGGTACGATGGACCCCGTGTGACATGTAGATGTCGCTACACTGCTCGGCCGATGATTGCCTGTTGCAGGGTTGGCATGGCAGGATATACTATATTCTCGAGATACTGACCAGCCTAGACCAGTGGGCTCGGGCAAGACAGCCCTCATGCTAGCCCTCTGCAAGCACCTCCGAACACGCTTCTCCATAGCCGCGGTAACAAATGACATCTTCACCCGAGAAGACTGCGAGTTCCTCACCAAGAACAATGCCTTGCCCGCGTAAGAGCAGCCACAATACACATATTACCGAAACATGTTTGACACGAGTATAGCGAGCGCATCGTCGCCGTCGAAACAGGAGGCTGCCCCCATGCCGCTGTCCGCGAAGACATCTCCGTCAATCTCATGACGCTCACAAACCTGCACCAAAAGTTCAACACGGACCTCCTGCTCATCGAGTCCGGCGGTGACAATCTCGCTGCCAACTACTCGCGCGAACTCGCCGACTTCATCATCTACGTTATCGATGTCTCGGGTGGTGACAAGATCCCCAGGAAGGGGGGTCCGGGTATCACACAGTCAGACCTGCTGGTCGTCAATAAGATCGATCTTGCCGAGGCGGTCGGCGCGGATCTGGGTGTCATGGAGCGGGATAGCAGGAGGATGCGTGAGGGTGGGCCAACTATCTTTGCGGTTGTCAAGAGGGATCAGGGTGTGGATGCTATTGTGGACTTGATTCTGTCCGCGTGGAAGGCTTCTGGTGCCGTGCAGGCTAAGAAGGACAAGTTCGAGCCTACATTGATGGAGGAGAAATAAAGAGACAACAAGGGAACTTTGTCATGTCACAATAAGATAGCGTTATGGTCCACGATGATTCGGGGATACAATGTTTATTGCAGAACGAGAACGCTACCATTTACAGACTATAAGCAAGAATATACAGGGAAACCTTACAGCTTGGCACCCCCCTCTACATCCACACTTCCCTTGAGCAAGTCCCAATCCGCCATGGTGAAAACAACGTATCCATCATCATCACCACCACTCTTGCCCTTGCCCGATCCAAGAGCAGCTGGGTGCCAGTACATGGTATCGTATTCCGCCTCTTCTTTCCCTTGCTCCTTCGCCTCTTTATCCGCCCTCTCCATGAGCTTCCTCAGATCAATACCATCATTCCTCAGCGGAACCTTGTTCTGCTTGTTGTTGTGCATCGTAGTCTGCTGTTTCTGTATCCTCAAAAAGACAGGCACTGCGTACTTTGGCAACTTCTGCTTCGCGTGCGCAAGTAGCGCGTTGAAGTTGAACGAGTCTAGATGTGCGGGATCAATGTAGATGGCTGCACAGCCTGCGCGGCCGTCGTAGCCAGGCACTTGGACGCCATAGACGTTTGCTTCTTGGATTCCAGGGAAGGAGCCAAGTGCCTCGCTGACTTCGGCTGTGCTCACGTTCTCGGACTTCCAGCGGAAGGTGTCGCCGAGGCGGTCCATGAAGAACCAGCGGCCGTCGGCGTCTCGGCGGAGAGCGTCGCCTGTGCGGTAATAAAGGTCGCCCTTCCTGAAGACATTGCGTTCAAAGCGTTTCTCGGTGGCGTCAGGGTTATTCCAGTAGCCAACAAAGGCTTGCTCGCTCGGCATCTGTACGAGGATCTCACTGCCCTCTTCGTAGGACTTGCGTTTGCAGAATCCGGTCTTGGGATCGCGAACGAGGTCTCCGGTGACAAAATCGATCTCGACTGGGACGTAGGTGTTGTGGGAGCGCCAGCGTTCGATGAGACCCTGGTGTCCGACTGAAGTTGCTGTAAAAGGCCCACGCGAGCCATTGAAGAGCGCCATGACGCCCTCTGTGCTGTTGAAGAACTCGCCGACGATTTCGATGCCGAAGCGATCGACAAACCGCTGCCAAACATCGGGGCGAAGACCGTTTCCGAACATGGCTCTGACGTTGTGTTTCCGGTCGAGGTCACTAGGAGGAGCGTTGAGAAGGTACCGGGCTGTCTCTCCTACGTAGACCATGGCGGTGGATCTCGAATCGCGCACGTCGGTCCAAAATTTCGATGTGGAGAACTTGGTGCCGATACAGCATGTAAGACCGGTAACCATGCAGACGAGTGCTGTCGTGCCTCCAGTGCCGTGGTATAGAGGCATGCAAACATACCACCTATCGCCATTGGGCCCTGGCTTCAGTCCCATGGCACCCACACGCTGTGTCAAACCAACGGCTCTTTGCGTCTCGAAGGGGCAAGCTTTCGGGTGTCCGGTTGTACCACTATTCTGATCAGCATCTTCTCCTTCACAGCACCGCCGTAGTGACTAACCTTGTGTAGAACAAGAAGAGCGGGAACTTTCCCTTCATACCTACCCTAAGCTCATCCTCAGGCCTGGTGGGCTCCAGCCTCGATATCTCCCCCTTCAACCCTGTGTCCAAGACCAAGACAGTCATGCCCAGCTCGCTCTCCAATCTCTCCCTAACAGCTTCGATGCGGTCTCTGCACTCCAGGTCTTCATCCACAAGCAGCACCTTGGCGCCGCTGACTTTCAAGCAGTGCACCAGCGCATCGCCCGCAAGGTTGTAGTTGATCCACGCCGGCGCGCTTCCTATGCTCCAGCTACCCAGATGTGCAAAAAGGAATTCGGGTCGGTTCATCATGTACATGGCAAAGAGCTGCCCGGGAACGACGCCATTCTGACGGAGGTATTGGCCGTATCGGCAGGCGTTCGCGTAGGTCTCGGCCCAGGTGTAGCAGCCGGTACGGGACCAGATGCATTCTTCGGTCGAGGGCAGGCGGTGTACGTGGGCTTCGAATTGGTACCAGAGGGACTGGCCTCTGCCTTTTGCTGTTGTCTTGTTAGGAAGTGATAGGTAAGGGATATGCAGCTCCGGCTTACCATTCTTCTCGAGATCGCGCGCGGCAGCTTTCAGGACGCGTTGGCCTTTGAGGTCTTTGGTGATGTGGTATTTGGCGTCGATGTAGGCTGCAGCTGCAGTAACGCCTGCGATTGCGCCTGCGATTGCGCCTGCGACAGGTGCTTCAAAGCTTCGTCAGCGAACATGTACGATAAGAGCTGTGTAGGGATGGTTGGAAGTTGGACAGGACGACAAGCGCGCCACGGCCGCTACACGAGATAGGAACACGCACCGATCGGGAGAGCCATGATGAGATCTTTCTTCTTAAATCTTTGATTGAGGAAAGTACGTGAAAGATGCGCAGAGAAACACTGAAGGTAAATGTCGCGATAAAAATGGGCCGAAGTTTGCCCAATGCTTCTAGATAACCTGCGACATGGCCATCCGCAACGTGATCAATTGCCGACATGCCCTCGGTCTCTCAACCGCCGTTCTACGCCAATGCGCGCGGCCCCAGAGTACCTAACCCCACGTGTCAGGAGCCCCACACTTACCCGTAACTCTTGCAACGTTAACTTTGGTTGTGATTCCATCGGACCTTTTCCACATTGGCCATGAATTAGATGCGTTGGTGATGACTGATCCGCCCGAGCATAGGATACTAGGCGTAGCCGTTGCCGCAGTCAGAACGCTCGAGGCTGTCAATAACACACTCACAGTCGCAGCCAAAAAAGTAAAGTTCTTGTGTCCTACGTTATATTGTTTCGTATCGACATTGCCGGTATTTACACTAGAGCTTCGCCTCAGAACCCCTAGCGAACTCAGCATTCTACCTACATTCACAGAACTCTTCCATCAAACTCACATGTGCTTGTGGAAGAAATCCAACACCATCTTATATCCGCGCTCGTACTCCTTCCTGACCTTCTCCTGCTCAAGGTCACTGCGCGCCGCCATCCAGCCGTGGATCTGGTCGGGGAACCACTCGACGACGTGAGGAACCTTGATGCCCTCCTGCCACTTCTTGACGTCATCCTTTGACTCGTCGCCTGATGGAAGCATGATGTAGGGAATCTTGATGCCGGGGGCGTCGTCGCCTGCAACCATGGCGGGGTGGCATGCTGCTGCGACCTTGAACTTTGTGCCTTCCATCGAGGACAGGTTGACAATCTGTACAGTGTTAGGAAATACGTTAGAGGTAATCTGATCGGCTTTTCCATACCTTTCCGCCCCAGCAGAAGCCGATGATAGCCCACTTCTCGATTCCGTACTTCTGAGTGAGCTCATCGACAATCTTCGGGATGCGCGGCAACGTCTTTGGCGGCGCGGCTTGCGACTGGAAGAACTCGCCCATCTTCTGCTCCTTCTCTTTGGTGTCCGGGGGCATCCAGGAGATGTCGGCTGGCTTGCCGTCGAAGAAATCAGGCATGAAGACTTGGTACTTCTGGCTGTCGGTGTAGGCCAAGATATCAGCACCTTGGAGTGTTTGGTTGAAGAATCCGAAGATGTCGTAGACGACTAAGATTCCTTGCTTTGCGTCCTTTGGGCCGGTTTGATCTGTCGAAAGTCAATTGCGATGCATAGTCATGTCGCGGTGTTTGGACATACAAGTCTTCAATCCGTCTGCCTCAATGTAATCGCCCTTTGGTTGGTAGCCCTTGCTGACCACAGCAGGTGTGTTGCAGCATGCCTGCGACTGTGTAGATTCGGTCGACATGGTTGCGGTCTGTTGTTTGGAAATGGCAAATAGCTCTTGTTTCCGTGGATGTGCTGTCGGGCGGGGTGCAGAGAATCGTGGTGCCGAAATTGAAACTCTCGCTAAGTTTAAAGGTAAGAGTCGAGCAGTTGGAGATTGAAGAAGTGAAGTTGTTCGAGCGATGACGCGCATTATGAGCTGCTACGGTATTTGTCAAGCTGTCAACGACGGTTGGGTGGGGAACTGAGCACCGCGGCTACCCCACCATGATGTCACCAATGGCAATGATGAAGTATACACAGTGTAACAGGGACTAGGGCGATAGTGCTTGCTCTAAAGCAGTCCACCATCATATAAAACTTAAATGCTTCCAGTCCTAACTACATAAGCTCCTCTTGACCGAGGAAAGCTAGCAACCCACTAGAGCCACAGGCAGCGTGATACTGATCAAAACTATCAAGCATCGCGTCCACTCGTAGCATTACAAACATCACCAAATCTCCCATCTTCATATCGTCGCGCAAAATCCAATTGCTTGGCCCAATGCTCCTCCATAACCTCCCCATCCCTTTCCAGCGTCAAATAAACCGACAACAAAACGTCTGGATCGCGCGTCCCCCGATTCCACGCGCGCTGGAAGAGAGGAATCGCTTCTCCAGGAATGACATTCTGAAACATAGTCATAGCCCTCTTAACCTGAACCATGTGCTCATTCAAGTATGCATGAACCTGCGTGACAAACTGCCCCAGCGTAACAGGTCTCCCGTCTGCGTTTTCGATGACAAGATTGGGCGGAGGCTTACATGCGCAGTCTGGCTCGGGACTGTCGTCGCCATGATGCCAGGCCTCGTGTGATCTCCACATATCGTCGCTCATCACCTCGAGATGGCGCAGGCTGGGTACTGAGATATTTGCTTCCACACAAGGATGTTCGAATAATGAGACAAGCTTTTCTTCATTCTTGGGTCCTATTGCGATTTCGATGTCGTGGAGCGGGGCTACCAGGTTCCAGCGTAGTCGGTATAAGAGGTCTTCGCGGATTTGGGTCTTCATGTCCTTTTTCGGTTGTTGAATGGTGAGTCAGGGTGATTTGGGTTTTTCTACAGAAAGTCGAAAGATTTTGCAGAGTGAATTGTTGTGCTTTGAAAGGAGCAAGGTGAATGCGGAAAACACCCTCGGTATGAAACGTACCTGATGGTACCTGGGTTACTTCCGAGATTCGCTAAGCAAGTACCCGGACCACGCCACGTGCATTCCACGGCTCCACGGTAAGCAGTATGGCGGGTATCTTCAACATGCACTATCTCCTGTCACAATATCCTGTATATATTTCTCTGGGTTCAAGAGCTTCAGTAGTTTCGTTGTCTAAGCATCCAAGTTCAGCTTCTCCAGCAATGTGTCTATCTTTCCTAGCAGGATCTGATAATTCATCGCGTCCTGGGCAAACTCATCACCAACCTCTTCGCCGTCCAAATTCCTAATAACACCAGCAGCAATCTGCTGTTCAACCGATGCGATATTCTCGTCCTGCTGTACGCCTTCGGGTACACCATCTTCTAGCGCGAAATCGCCCATTGCTTCCACAAGATCTCCCTCGGTACTAGCTTGCATGGCTGCGCTCTCGTCCATCATCTCATCTAGCCCACTGTCCTCGAAGCGAAGCCTGAATCGCTCCGAGAGGTAATAGCGGATATCGTCGACAAGTTCGACAGTGTCGGTTTCCTGACGTGCCTTGACGCGATTCGCAGATTCTTGGACCAGCTCAGCGAACTCGGGTTGGTCAATGTAGTGTTCCAATCTGTATGCAATGTATCGCGCAGCAAACTCCTCAAGGCGTTGTACCCTTGTATCCCACCCAGCTCGGATAACTTCGTAGATGTCCACGGCTTCATCGGCATCTGTAGCTCCCCGCGGGTTGTCCGACTCCACTGCTGAGGTTGCGCCATTGCCTAGCGCAGAGATGATGATGGCAGCGCGCTGCTTGAGCTTCTCGATGAAGAGCTGGTCTGCAGCAAAGAGCACGTCGATGGCAATATCCAGACCGAAGTCAGCGCGCTCGGTGTACATGAAGGTGAGGATGGTTTCCAGAACTGCTGGCGAGCAGTCAATAGTCACAATCTGCAAATGCGGCGTATCTTGTGCTTCCTTGAACTGCGAGCTGAACATGGTCAGGAAATACTCGGAGCGCAATAGCATGGCTCGGTGCGCAGGGAAAATGGTCGATTTACGGGATGCTCGTTGGCGGGACGGCGACCTCGAACGTGAGCGACCCGGTCCGACTGGTATTCCTAGAAGGGGCCCCGGTGCGTTTCGCACAGGCGGCGTCGATGACTCTGACGGCCCTGGTGACCGATCTGTGCCATCGGAGTCTTGGTCCTCGTCATCATCATCATCGGCGCGCAGTAATATATCGGCGAAGATGGAGTTTTCCCGGTCCCATTGTATGCTGTCCACTTTTGTAGTGTCTACGACTCTTTTATGCCGGAGGACGTTGTTCTTGAACCAGCCCTCTAACTGATCTCTGCCGCGTTCCAATTCCTCTGCTCTTCGCTGGCGCAATAATCTTCGATCAGAGACTTCTGTTATATCTTCAAACAGGCGTTCAATCTCCAGCTGCTTGCCAATCTTATCTATGCCTTTCAACACAACCAGCTCCTGCTCATCACTTAGTCCATGTAAAGCTCTCCGTATCGAGACTTCCTGGAAGTACAAATATTGCAATGCTACACCCAGCGACTCGGCGGGTATCGTGTTGGGTAGCTTCCACGACGTTGTGTTGGGTGCTGTCTCGAGCTTCCGCGCAAAGTAGGGCGATCGTGCCGCAAGGAGGAATTTGTGGAGGTGGAACTCTTGGCCAAAGGCTGTAATTGTGATGTCTGTCGTCTTGGGCGACGGTCGGGTGAGCAGCGAAGTAATATGTGCTGCCAGCGGTTGTAAGGGATTCGAGGATTTCGCATAGTCGTAGGATAGCAATAGGTTACGTATACGGTCGTTGAGCGCATTATATAGGCATCTCTCGCCTTGGAACGTATCACGTTCGCAGAGTGCACCATTTTCGAGGAGTAGGCGTATGACTTCGTAGTGACCGCATAGACTAGCCTTCAGCGGTCAGCGCTCTCGATTGAATAGCAAAGTGTGTGAATTTGAGCTTAGAGATTGTCTTACTAAAATAAGAGGGGTGTAGTCAAATCTGTCCCTGGCATTGATGTTTACACCTGTCGAGATCATCTCCTGGCACACCTTCAGGTCTCCCCGCCGGCATGCTTCACAGAAGACCCTGAAATCCTCGCTCGTATCCAGCGGGTTCTCTTCCTTGAGCTGGCCCGAGGAGATTGCCTGGGCTTCGGTCGCGAGAGCGGCCTCGATCTCGTGCTTCTTCTTGACATCCATGGCTGTGGCAAGAAGAAGAGGTCCTCAGTAGCGGCGACATGGTGGAGGTGACAGTGACTACTGCTCTGCGATGACGAGTGGCGGCGGAGATCGGCGTGACTATCGATAAGACAAGCGACAGGGGTGTGCCGCGCCTGGCAACTGCAAAACGTGCGGCGCGTGCAGCGTTGCTGGGTTGACGGGCCTTAGCGTAAACAGGGCCAAACACGACGCCAACTCGGCTTCCATCCCGCCCATTGTACATTACATACATCCCTCGCTACCTCCGAGCTCTACTAACCCAGCAGCTTGCTACCCTATCCTACCCTTAATAGTTGCATGTCTTTTGAGCAATAGCAATACCTTCACCATGCCCGAGGAAGAAAAGTACGACGTGCTCGAGAAGATTGGTACGGACCGCCCCCGATAGGTGCAAGAGGACGCATACTGACGTTGTATAGGCCATGGGTCCTTTGGTATCATTCGCAAAGTCAAGCGGAAGTCAGATGGCTATGTAAGCAGCGACGACGAAGCCTGCGCGCGCGACGTGCTAACCGCCGCCTAGATCCTGTGCCGCAAGGAAATCAGCTATCTCAAGATGTCGCAGAAGGAACGCGAGCAGCTGCAGGCCGAGCTGTCTATCCTCAAGGAACTCCGACACCCCAACATCGTCGCCTACTTCGAGCGCGACCACATCAAGGCATCGCAAGACCTTCACCTCTACATGGAGTACTGCGGCAACGGCGACCTTGGACGTGTTATCCGCGACCTCAAGAATAAGAACCAGGTGTGCGAGGAGGAGTTCGTCTGGAGCATCTTCAGCCAAATCGTCAGCGCCTTGTACCGCTGCCACTACGGTGAAGACCCACCTGCAGCAGGCCGCAACGTCATGGGACTCGTTGGCAACGCGAAGCCTGCCCGTGACCCGCGCAAGCCCATGATCCTCCACAGAGATCTCAAGCCCGAGAACAGTCAGTTTCTGGTCATCTCCACATCGCGTGACTCTGCGCTAACAACTCACAGTCTTCCTTGGCGATGACAACAGCGTCAAGCTGGGCGACTTCGGTCTGTCCAAGATCCTCCAATCCCACGACTTCGCCTCTACCTATGTCGGCACGCCGTTCTACATGTCGCCTGAGATTTGCAAGGCGGAGCAGTATGGTCCTCACTCGGATATCTGGGCACTCGGGTGCATCATATACGAGATGTGCACAAAGTCACCACCCTTCAACGCCAAAACACACTTCGAGCTCATCTCAAAAATCAAGCTGGGCCGATACCCCGACATACCGGCTTGCTACTCGGCAGAGCTCCGAAAGGTCATTGCGAGCTGCCTGAACACAACGCCCGACAACCGACCAGACACAGCTGCCCTTCTCAACCTGCCAATCGTCAAGCTTATGCGCAAAGAGCAGGAAGTCGTCAAGCTGGGACAAGACCTCCGTGAGCAACGTCTGCTGACTGCGAAGCGAGAGAAGGAGGCAAGCGAAGCCATTTCACGGATACGCAAAGAATTGGATGACCAATTACGACGAGAGTGGGAAGTCAAAGCACAGTTGGAGATTGAGCGACAAGTGAAGCTGCAAACGGAACAACGAGTACAAAAAGAGCTGGCTCATCTCCAGGCGACCTTCGAGGGAGAAGTCAACAGACGGGTAGAGCGCGCGCTGAAGATGTACCCCAACCGTCTGAGCACATCACCAAAGCTGGCTCCTCGGTCGAACACGCCCACTATGGCGGCAACAGAACCAACTTCTGCCTTATTTTCAGCAGAGTCCGATGGTGCCGTTAAGAACGCTTCGCAAAACACCCTCAACACAGACTCCGATTTCGCGAGCGGAACAGACTTATCGTCCCTTTCTCTGGACGACCACGCCGAAGAGGTCACCATCGCAGCTAAGCCAAAAGCAAAGCGACCGTCTCGCGGTCCCCTAGTTCGCGCCCGCACAATGTTCTCCCAACCTTCCACGACACAAGCACCCGACTCTCCCATGGATGTTCAGATGGCTGAGCCATCGCCGGCACCTGCTTCACTCAAGGGACTTTCGCTTTCCCCTCGTCGCAACCAGCAACCCAAGCAAAACATCTTCGCTGCTGCCAAGGAAGGCGCGAAGAAGTGGGAAGCTGACGTTCCCCCGTCGCCGACGGAGGCAGAGTGGAACGCCGACTTCGACGATGATGACGATCTTCCTGTTCTGCCATCGCCTACCCGCGCACGAAGCGCCTCTGGGGGTCGTCCTATGAGTGAGGACCCCTTCAAGGTGCTCGCAAACGCCCAAGCACCACTGTTGAAGGCCAATGCTCGATTGGGAAGCACACCAAACCTCCTGGGTCCCAGGACCACGAAGCCTCGTCCTGTTTCCGCGGTACCCATCGTCGCGGCGTCGCCTTCTCGATCAAAGGCCAAGTCCACCGATACCGCATCAACATCGCCGCGCAAGACAGGCGCGACCACGAAGTCCATTCCATTCGCTGGACTCCCATCAAAGAAGGGCAACGAGGCATTCCGCGTCCAAGCGATGCGCAACAACGGCGGAGTTCAGGGCCGCACACTAGTCGAACTTCAACAAGCGCGCGGTATCCCTGTGCACACTATGAGTGAAGACGAGGGAGGCGCGAAGAAGAACTTCGGATACAACGGCCGAAGGAGTCCCGTCAAGCGAACTGGCGGTATCAGCCCACCTGCAGTGTGGGACCCAGAGACCGAACCGGAGATGCCATCCCCCTTCATCCAACGCAGCAAGCGCATGGTCCGGTAGGACGGACGATGCGTAACAGCCCCGGAACGATTACGACATATACAACAACGACACGACGAAGGGTAAATAATGGGGTGTTTGGACACATAGCATCCCACGGCGTTGGCGTGACGAAAGGACGGAGGGCAAATACCATTTCCTTTGTCTCATCAAACGGAGTGGTGTCTGGCGTTGAAGGATTGTGGATTGAAAGCGAGCGTTTGCCTCGCGTCCCTTCTACCATCTCTTCCCTTTGTCATCATCATTGCATCTGCGCTTGGTTTTACTCACATTTTCCACGAACGCATACTAGCATCTTTTTGGCGATATTTGTGGGTTGGGTTTGGATAGGCGTTTGAGGCGTTGCACCGTCATGAGACGAGTTGCATCTGTACTCTTATTTATTGCGACGAATGTTACTACTACCATACTTCACGTTATGCACTCCTGGATGTCGTGGTGTGATTAAGAATAAATTCGAAGTGAAGAAGATATCACCACCCGAAGCTTTCGGTGTGTAGGTATATGCCCTGTGCTCCTGTCCCTTTATGCACCGCCCGCTCATCACTGAGTGAGACAACGTCGTGCTTCACGTCTGCCACCAACCCCTGCGGTCCACATACCACCACCGCACTTTCTCCCAGTGCTTGCTCCAATGACCTGCGAACAATATCCCGCGTCTTTGGTCGACCGGAATATATCGCTATCGATGGATGAACGACGACTCTTTGGCCCTTCTCGAGAGAAGATGGAGTTGAAGGTGCGAGGGATGCAGGACGAGATGAGGTAGCTGCAGGTTTCGAACAGCTACATACTGCTTTACTAGCTGAAGACGATTCGTCGACTGCAGTACGGCAACAGCATGTGGCGTTCGGACCACAGGACGCTTCTTGGATATCCAGGCTTTTTGAGTCGACGGATGTTACTTCTTGGTATCCCTGCCGATGCGATTTCTTCTCACTCTTCTTTTCTGATGTCTGTGCAGACGATCTGTATTGCACTGCACCATGCTCGGGTTCGCTCTGTGACTTTGCACTCGCGTTGGGTGCAGTCACGCCCGAGCGTACAGAGTTGTGCTCTTCTGTGAAGGACTCGTCGCAGGTGATGTAGACGCTCATTTCGAGCTTGATGTCACGAAGCGTTTCCTGTAGCGTTCGGAACTCGGTGTATACGGAGGAAAGCTGCTCGGAGAACCAACTTAGCTGCCCTCTGCTCTTGACGACCCATACGAAGCGGATGTATCGTGTAACTGCACCTGTTGGTGTTTTGAAGATTGAAGCGCTGCTTGCGTTACCAGAAGCATTCTCTTTCCAACCCTGGAGGAGGTCGCGGAGCAGCGGGAGAGTGAAAGTCCCGCCGGTACTTCCTGCGAGGAGAACGACGCTGTCGAATTGGCGTAGTGGTCTTAGAGTGCCATATGGGCCTTCTATGGTCACAGTCCTGGGTTTGATGGTCACTCCAGATAGAATGCCTGATTTCTCGGCATGCCTGAAGAGACGCTTAGTACCTCCTTTTTCGGCCTTGACGTAGAACTCCATCTTCCCATCTGCTGGTATTGAAGCTACGGTGAACGGATGACTTTGTAGCGGAACAACGGAGTGACAGGATAGATATACGTGTTGACCAGGAGTCCAGCTGATGGGTGGGTTCGGGATAGTGATTCGGGTGGTGTTGTGAGGGAGAGGTGTGAATTCGGCTTTGCATGCCCAAAGGCCACTCATTTGGCCCCGCTTCTTTAACGCAGGGTGAAATACGGAACTGTTGATGTATAATAGTCGCAATGCTCGGAAGAGGCGGTCGAATAGGAAAATGGCAACTGGAGCCCAAACATAGCCGTTCATCTCGAGAGGAGTGTGAATGTAGACGAACGCAAGGAATACTGCAAACGAAACGATATGTTGGATAACGAATATCTCGTAATTCCAGCCTCGAATAGGCGTCATGGAGCTGAACACAATCCATGCCAGCGTGCACCATGCAGCAAGACCTTTCCAAACAATCGCGTTGTTCTTGAGTTGGTAGCCGATATAGTCGTATGGAGCCCATGCACTGAGAAAATACCCCATGTGCATGGTGGCCGTAAGGAGCATGCATCGAGCGCACCATCGATGTAGCCAGTTCAGGCGCTCGTAGCTCACACCGCTCAGACAACCGATGATGTTGTTCTTGCCGGCTAGCAGCACGATAATCGGTAGTTGGGCGATTGTGACCACACCGCAACGAAAGCCAATATTTTCCATACTGAACAGGTCCGTCACATCGAAGCCGTATAAACATAGAACGACCAGAACAACTATGTTCCCCACGACCAGCGACGATCGGCCGACTGTTGGTAGTCTGAGTATGCGACCTTTCAGTGGTATGCGTATGGAGAAATTGGACGCTTCACGCGTCAAGGCGTATAGTGTCGCGTTTCCGAGGGCGAACCATGAGATGGGCTTTGCAGGCGTCCGCGATCCCTTTCTTGCTGCAAACATTCTTTGGCGGTACAGCACATAGTTGTACATGTTGAACATTGTTGCGACGCCGACTGCGGCCCCAATCACCGCGTAGTAGAAGTCTGGCCATTCTGTGAGCGCAGGCAAGGCGCTCATGGAGCCCATCGACATATGGTTGTGGCTCATGATGCTAGGCGCTGCTGCAATATTGCAGAATTGTGTTTGATATGTGTTTCTAGGCCTGCACTGGATGCGAGGTTGGGCGATTGCCAGTGATAAATGGCGTGAGCCTCTACCGGTGTTTATCGCATGCTGATTTCGTCGCGAACAGTATGAGATGTAACTAGGGTCGTAGTTTCGCTTTCGCGTCCAGGGATCGATAAAGAGATATACTCTAGGACGTGGGAAGATAGACAGTGTGTGACAGTGTCATAGGAGGTTGACAAGATGTGATAGTTGTCCAGCGAAAGACGCACACACGCAGCCTCTTCAGCCATGGTCCCGGTAATAGTCCATGTGGCCGTAGTGCCGACTGTAATCAATTGCCTCTCAGATGCAGGGTGGCAGGGTCGATGCACTGCGGGGGCTGCATCGAGGCCCAGTGTGCACTCTGTTGGCCGTGGCTTGAATTAAGCTTCGCGCGCTAACCAAAGCGGGCTAATTATGCTCAAAGTCGCTCCTTGGAAGGTCCGGCTGCTTAAACGTCGCTCACCCGCCCGAGCCACCGACAGCGTGCCATGACCCATAGAACGCGCATGGATGGGATCTTTCCGTAGCTGCGAGATTTGCCTGTCTTACATGTAGGCGGGAAGGCGTTGCCGAGAAATGTGCTCACATGCCCCGACGCTTCACGCCTCAGCCCAGACTTGACCATTTCTTGAGTGTCGCAACATCTTGCGCATTCACTGCACTTGTATACACTGCAACACGAAACCAGCGCCTCCAGGTCGTGCATTCATGCTGAGGCGCCTTCATCTTTACGCAACTGGAACCAGCGAACGCGCAACCCCACAGCGTACCGAGAAGTCTTAAGCGATCGCCTGCCCCAGGACTAAGAGAGCAGTCTGGAACTCGGTACCTATTCTTCGATCCCTAATCACCCCGCGCGACCTGAACGGAACTCGTCCTGAGCCATCAACAGAAACCCTCTCATCAGCTACACACACACGTCGAACTCATCACCATGGTTGCTCACGAGGGTCACGACATGGCTATGGATTCGATGGATATGGGCGGCATGTCCATGGGCACTTCCTCACATGGCGGCATGGCAATGGCGTTCGTCACGTCAACGACCACTCCTTTATACTCCGAGGCATGGACCCCGACGACTGCTGGTCAATACGCAGGGACATGCATCTTCCTCATTTTCCTGTCCATAATCCTTCGCGCCCTCTTCACAGCAAAGACATTCCTTGAGGTCAGGGCAGTCAAGAGCGCGCTGAAGCGACGCTATATCGTTGTTGCCGGCGAGAAAGCGGTTGTCGACAGCGCTGCAGACGACACCAACTCGATGACCGGCGTTCTCACAACAAACGGTGTCCAGGAGGATGTGCGCATCATTTCGGCGCCGGTCTCTCATATTCAGCCATGGAGATTCAGTATCGACCTGCCCCGGGCACTATTGATGACAGTCGTGGCCGGTGTCGGATATCTCCTGTAAGCACTACATATTCTCGTCAAAGCGTCAAAGCGTCAAAGCTAACTTTTGGGCAGTATGTTGGCAGTCATGACTTACAATGTTGGGTACTTCTTGTCTGTGCTAGCAGGTGCGTTTGTTGGCGAGCTGGCATTTGGCAGGTTCAATCAAGTTGCGGCGCACTGAGGTTTAGACTTGTATTCTACCATTCATATCATTAAAAAAAGCCCTTGTAGCACTTGAAATTCATCTTAATACCCCAGATACATGCATTCCCAAACAAGGTTTCTCAACACTTCGTATTCATTCAATCACCAGAAGCTTCCTCGCAGAACCCCGTGGGGCGCACAAAGCTTATCTCCAGCAATGCAATGCGATTCATGAACGTGGTATTCCCATAATTTTGATCTTCATTCCCGGCTGTACAGTAGAACCATATTCTAGGCCTCGGCGTGTCACCGGAAATGCCATCGGTGAAATGTAACCTTGTTAGACGCTAGTCGCTTCCGCGGTGAGAACCACCGCTTTGGTAATAAACTTGCTCAATTGTCGGCACCCTGCACGCCACACGATACCATACCCTAACGACTTGCACATTAGCGACGGTCGCCGCTGATGCAGGATACTGCTCACTTACTACTATTTGCTTAGATCGTCGGCCTATTCGAAACGCGGGTCAAATGCAGGTCGCTTCGAGTGCTCACGCGCGAGCCACGCGATTTACTGGAACGGAATGCACGGCATGGGATGTGGTGCGTTCCAGAGTAAGCTGCAATAAATACGGCAGGTGATCCCGGCGTTTGGTTACTGTTTATTGTTGTCTTCATAACCTTCTCGCATTCCTCTGCATCAAGTCAAAAGCGCTGTTCCTTCTCTTCCCTAAACGGCATCAAGACCTACATTTACCTCTCAACCGTCAATATGCTTTCCAACAGCGCTCTCGTGCTCGCCTTCCTTCCTCTTACACTCGCCCATTTCCAGCTCAATTTCCCCAAGGCGCGTGGGTTCACCGATGACACCGAGAACAACTTCCCTTGCGGAGGCTACAACGATGTCCAGCAAGAGCGCGCCGATTTCCCGATCGGCGGAGGCCCAATACAATTGCACATGGAGCACCCGCAGACCAACGTTGCTGTGTACATGGCCATTGGCGATAACCCGGGAGATGGATTCAGCATTGTCGCACAGCAGCAGACCCAAGTATCAGGTCTAGGAGACTTCTGCTTCGGTCACGTCTCCCTACCGGAAGGATTGAACGTGACGGATGGTACCAAGGCTTCGATACAAGTTGTTACCAATAACCACGAGGCGGGTGGTTTATACCAGGTAAGCCTTTGATATGAGATGGTCCATCATCGCAAGAAAGTTGCTAACGGCCACGTAGTGTGCGGACGTGACCCTAGTCAACAACGCCCAGATCAACTTTGATGACAACTGCAAGAACCAGACAGGCATAAAGGTTACTCAGGAAGACATCCCAGGAAACCCCAATGGAACGGAGACGGAGACAAGCCCAAGCTCGGCTGCCAGCGGAAGTGCTGCATCATCTACGCCGACAGGTGCGGCGGCGCAAGCGAAGGCTTTCTCGTGGGCATTGGGTGCTGTTGGTGTGGCTGGAATCGCACTACTCTAGGTAGACCTGGGCACGTTGAAGTAGAGCATTAATACCACTATTCGCGATCAAGTTCAGCGCAAGGGTCCAGTCGGCTGGGACGTGAAGCATTGTTCCTTTGGTGTAAAATTGATTGGACCGCGATTCCGCATGTTTGCCTTGGACATGCACCGCGGCTCAGTCTATGCTGCATCTGCATCTGCGTAAGGAATCTTGTAAACCAGTTGTGATGATAAACCATGCATCGTATCAATTGAGTTCAGATGAATGAGAGGTCGTGCGATGTGCTTGGTGCAAGTGTATTGGCGCGTGTGACCCCTCTGACGTTGCGGGGATCTGAAGCTTCCACAAGCGAGGACATGCACACAATCGGCGCTTCCGTCGAGTTTCGCCGATGGCCGCAACAACTTCACCAGCAACACCACACTCCAAGTCTCGGCCACGATCCCGAATTTAGGTGCGTACCGGTCCCGCGCTCGCTCTGAGCCCAAGCCCTCACCCCAATCTGCGAAGAACCCGGAACCGACCGCTGACACTCCACGCCTACAGCTCTCCCCACCTAGTTATCCTTCCTCAACACCGCAAATATGGATCAAGCAAAGTTGGCGCGCATGCAAGCGTCGGTGCGCATTGGTACGTACTTCAATTTTGAGCTGCAATTGCCTTATAGAGCAGCTGGCTACACCATTGGAGGAAGTTGTTGCTAATTTGTGTGTGTATAGGGTAAGCAAGCCTCTTCTGCTCTATTTTGACAGCCCCGCACCACAAAATATCACGAACCCGCGAAATCCCACCACGACCGCTAATTGGTAGCGAGCGACACTGAGGAATGAGATGGCTATGAGGAATTCGAGGCTAACTCGATATATAGCGGCAAGGGTACTCCCCGCAGGAAGGTCAAGAAGGTCCACAGGGCCGCTGGTACCGACGACAAGAAGCTCCAGACCGCGCTGAAGAAGCTCAACGTCCAGCCCATCCAGGCCATTGAGGAGGTCAACATGTTCAAGAGCGACGGAAACGTCATCCACTTCTCAGCACCAAAGGGTACGTCATCCCAAAGCTTTAGCTGTGTGGATATGGAAGGGTGGCTTGGTCCATCGCAGACATGCCGCTACCAAGCCACACTCATGTCATCCTACCTCTGCCTCTTAGTACATGCTTACCCGTGTAATGTATAGTTCACGCTTCAGTACCTGCCAACACCTTCGCCATCTACGGACACGGCGAGGACAAGGAGCTGACAGAGCTCGTCCCCGGCATCCTCAACCAGCTCGGCCCCGACTCGCTCGCATCGCTACGCAAACTCGCCGAATCCTACCAGAGCATGCAGAAGGAGAAGGGTGAGGACGGCGACAAGAAGGAGGACGACGACGATGAGGACGATGATGACATCCCCGACCTCGTCGCTGGCGACAACTTCGAGTCCAAGGCTGAGGTCGAGTAAGAAGTTACGTCAAAAGTAGCTTAAGAAAGGGTCGAAAGAACCAGAGAGGAGATTATGTGCAATGACGGCCTACCGCATGTATATTGAAATGGAGGACTTCATGAATGCAACGACCGTGACGGTCAGCAATCGCGGTGGGTCTTGCAGGCAAAATACCGGACTGGCGTTATGTCTCAGGAAAGATATGAATGAAAATCTTCTAGCACGCTCTCCACGATCATTGCGCACAGATGACAGACTAGAGCATACCTATATTTCACTTTACGAAGCCTTGAAGGCGCGTCCGCTTCTGTTAGTTAGGCGTTGCGCATGAAGCTTTCAAAGATGTTGCGAAGAACCCGGAATACCAAAGATCTCAGGAGGACATCACACTAGACGCCCTAGCTACAGGAGTCATATTTCGCGATGCTCTCTCTTGCCAGGAGGGCGGAACGTCTCCGCGTCTTTCGTGGTTGTTGAGCATGTAAGCACCCATCTGCGCAATTCAGGCGTCCGTGTTATTGTCAGCAGCGGATCGGCAGCAAGGGATTCCCGCCCTTAACCGTGATGTGGCTAGCACCCAACCCTTAGCTTCCTTTTGTTAAGCCTCCAATATCTAACAATGCGTGTGAACAGCCTGTACACGAATGCGATTCATAAGCGTAAGCACAAGCAACGCCCAAAGCCGGCTAAGATACTGATAACGGAATCGTGAAAACCATATATCAAGCTAACATGCGCTTAGCCCATTGAAACGTCTCACCCTCGATTCAGCATCGACTTAACGATTCGGCGGCTCCCCACCTGCGGTGTCCCTAAGGCCAGAAACGCGCCAAAAGTTTAATAGCGACGCGTCTCCTGAACCTTTTCTTTTGCGACGTGTTTGCATCTATCTCTTCATCTTCTTTTCATTACGATACCCAATCCAAGCGCATCTTCTAATTATCATTCGACATGAGCACCGAAACTATCCTGATCCTCGGAGGATCCTTTGCAGGTATCAGCGCTGCGCACTACGCCCTCAAGCATGTCATCCCACAATTACCCAAGAAGGACGGAGTTACCTATAATGTTACCCTCGTCAACCCCTCCAAAGATCTCTGGTGGCGCATTGCAGCACCTCGGGAAAGTGTCTCCAAACAAATGGTGCCTTCGGAGAAGACCTTCTATCCCATCGAGCCTGCCTTCACCTATGCGTTCCCGAAATTCAAGTTCATCCAGGGAACTGCGACAAATGTCGACCCCACCGGTCAGACTGTCTGCGTTGAAACCGCGTCTGGCGAACAGCAAAACGTCGAATACGCTGCGCTTGTAATCGCGACTGGTTTCACTACACCAAGCCCGCTCTTCACGCAGGCAACGGATCGCGAAGCACTCGAGAAGGTTCATACCGCCTTCCAGGAGGGCCTGAAGAGCGCAAAGACGGTAGTCATCGGTGGAGGCGGCCCAGTAGGTGTCGAGACCGCCGGAGAGGTCGCGGAGATTCTGAACGGCAGACCTGGTTTCATGGCATCTGCGCCCAAGAACCCAAAGGCAAAGGTCACGCTCATCTGCGGAGACAAGAAACTCTTGCCTCTGCTGCGTCCGGCGATTGGTCAGACCGCTGAGCAGTTCCTAAAGCGTCTCGGATGCGATGTTACCTACAACACGAGGGTCGTTGGATCCACCAAGGCGGGCGAAGAAGAGGGCGCAAAGACGAGGGTGGAACTGAGCAATGGCGAGACAGTCGAAGCGGATATCTACATCGATGCGACTGGCTCTCGGCCGAACACTGGCTTCCTTCCGAAGGAGTGGCTCGATACCCGCAACCGCGTAGCATGCAACGACAAGACCCTCCGCGTCGAACACGAATCCGCCGGTCCCCGCGTCTACGTCGTCGGCGATGCTGGCTCTTACACTCGCGGAGGCGTCATGGACATGTACGACGCTGTACCAGCGGCTATGACAAACCTCAAGAACGACCTGCTTGCCCACCTAACTGGGGAGCCACACAAGGGCGATCGTCACTACACGGCGAACCTGAAGGAGCAGCAGATTTGCCCTATCGGCACCCAGAAGGGTGTTGGTGCATTCAATGGATTCAGGGTTCCCAGTCAGATGGTATGGATGATCAAGGGAAGGGACTACATGATCAGCCAACTTGCTGAGGGCACATTGAGGGGTGATCAGTTCAAGAAGGAGGGCAAGTGGACGCCTGTTCAACAGGCTGGCAAGGCTGGACTCAGCTCAGGCTAGACGGCGAGCAGACCTTACAAGTTGATTGAGAGCATTGGATATACCTGTATCGGTTGGTTTGTCGCGTCGCGTTCATAGCGGATCGGAATACCCTTGAGGCATAGCGTGTAGGTTACATAGTTTTAATGTCATGTGAAGTCGGATTGCTTGCTCTTCTTACAGCTAACATACTTGACTTGATACGTGACGATGGGGTTGTGATCTCCATGCCCCACCCATTTAAGCTTAACCTTAGCGCGTCATAGCTCTGAGCTCCAAAATTTCCCAGCGGCAACATAGATCCTGATTATTCGCGCCTCGAACATCGCACCGGATTCAAGCGCGTATCAAGGTCCAGTACATTCGCCATGGCAACCACAACCCAGCCCTCGCCAGCGCTCACGTTCCCTCGCCCCATCTTCGCTGCCGTCTCCCCGCACCCGTTCCTGCAGGCGCATCTTTCCGCAGAGAAGAAGAAGCCCATTCGCGCAAATGGACGTACCGCAAACGAGTTCCGCACACCAGGCATCAACACTGGAAGTCTTACTCACTGCAATGGCAGTGCAGTCGTGCGACTGGGCAACACAAGCGTTGTCTGCGGAGTGCGCGCAGAAATCTTGAAAGAGGAAGACATTCCAGGCACCTTCGAATACCCTGGACAAAGCGCCGGGCAGGATGCGGAAGATGAGGAAGACAACGGCGAAGAGGTAGAAGAGTTGAGGTTACTGGTTCCGAACGTAGAACTATCCACAGGCAGCACACCCTCCCACATCCCCGGCAACGCGCCATCTACGTACGCGCAAACCCTCATAACCCGCATACGATCTCTCCTCAACTCGACACGACTCCTCCGCGCTTCAGATCTCCGCATACTATACAAGCCATCCACAAACCCCGAAGACCCAGACATAGAAGCGGAGACACAGCTGAAAGGATACTGGGTTCTCTACCTCGATGTGTTCTTCATTAGCATCGATGGCAACGCATTTGACGCTGCGTGGATATCCATACTCGCTGCGCTCCGCAACACACTCCTACCACACGCGTACTACGACGAGGAGTACGAGGGATTACTATGCTCGGACGAACCCAAGGAGGCGCATCGCCTTCAATTACGCGGTCTACCAATACCTAGCACATTTGCAGTGTTTGAAGGCAGGAGAGAAGAGGAGGACGAAGACGTAGACTTTGTGCTCAGCGATCCTGATGCGTTTGAGGAAGGCGTGTGTAGAGAGACTGTTAGCGTGGTGGTGGATTGTGCAGGCGGAAAGAAGGGTACGAAGGACTTGGTCATCAGGAGGGTAGAGAAGAGCGGTGGGGGTGTTGTCGGAAAGGAAATCATGGCAGGATTGATTAAGAGAAGTATCGATCGGTGGGGCGCTGTTGAGAGTGTGCTGAGTGGGAAGGCTTGAGTAAGCTGGTACGCACGCGATACGCACCCAAGGCCGCTGCAAACTGAGCAGTCTTCATCCGACGTTGATGCAGCATTGAGACGGCACGAATGTAGCCCACCTCGATAATTCGACTACACGAACAGGGTGAACATGGGCATGTCCAAGGGACATTGTTGCACGTCTGGCACATCTCCAATCTGCTTAGCCAGAGCGGAAGCGATCGTTCAGAGCGAAAGGCGTACTCGTGCTCGTACACTTGAGGATCGGCCACTTCGCGAATGTAGAACTAGAAGCATACACAGACGGTATCGGACCAGCACATTGCTAGTACGGGTATGCGAGCCTGCCCAGGTAGTTACGAGGCGCGTACTTCACGCAAAGACCTCGTCACCGCTTCCGAATCTTGATACCTGCCTTCTATGAATCTCCCAGCTTTGCGTTTTGCATACACTAGTCTCTCAACCGCTCGACACTTCTAGACACGACTCGTCGCTTCTCACCTAAATCAACACACAAGATTGCGTGACCTGTCAGAACCAACGAACAAAACCGTCCCCCTGAGGAATCAAACGCTCCGCTGTTCCGCTAGAACCTTGTTTCGTTTGTCCGCGGCACGCTGCCGCTCTGGTGTACCGGTCGCTACGTCCCGTCGAGGCTCAATAACCGTAGCACGTCGACACGCCTGTATACTAACACAAGCGCGCGACGTACGCAGCGCCTAGAAGGAGGCAATAGAGCATGTTGAACCATACGTAATTCACAGACCCTCGTTACGCGCCCTCTCTATCCAGGCTTCACCCATGAAGTTGTACAGGCAAGATTTGCGCGCATACAGCCACTCCTTCTACTCGGAGTAGATGCAGATACTACGATATCTCCACTTATGCAAATCGTGACGACAGTGAAGTTCTCCAGCTCCACAACCGAGCAGTAACCTGCAGCATGTCATTCGAGTGTGGTCTAGACCACACGTTCTCTCGCACAAGTTCTGTGCGTTTCATGAAGAGTGGGGATGGTAATTTCTTTATCGATACCAGCCGCCGTGCCACGAGCTGTCGTTGAGACGTCAGGTACCAAACTAAGCTGTGCAGCTACACTACGGCTACTGCGAACTTGTTGAACGGCGGCCGCTCTTCTACCGGTCGGAGATTTCTGCCAGGTACACTGCAGGAACGCGTATGCTGCAGAAGGAGCCTTGGGAGAGGACTTCTGCCTGCTAAACTTGACTTGGAGGTCATCATAAAATTGCGATTCGACGCCACGCACATGTTGTGTTCGGGGACAGAGCGTCAGCTCGGACTGTGGCATGCTGCAGCGTGATGACCCGTGGACGAGTTTAGAAAGATCACTTGGGATTCTTTATCGATTCTGTTTCTAGACACAGGACATGACAGCTCGTCAAGATTACCGTTGCCCTGGATCGTGTCCTCATAGACAGCAAGCGGTCCTTGCGAAGATCTCGTTTCCAGATACCGGGGCAATCCTTTGAGTGACTCCCGTCGCGGCCCAGCGGCAAACACTTTCAGCTCCACATAGCGTGGATTCGCTGGAAGAAAAGAGCATGTCTGCCGGATTGTCATCCTTATCGGAGCCCTTGCATCGAGGCCTAAAAAGAAACTTGTGCAGCAAATGGAAGCGCGCGCGGATATTAATCTTAGGCAGGGGGAGTCAGCACCGTTTGAAGATCAGCCACCTGGGCCTCGCGTGCGACGATCGTAACGCTAAGCGCCCCGAACTCCGCCAGGAACGGAATGTATGTTTCTGTCCTATCGATACGTCAGCCGTCTTCCAGACTCAGGCAAAAAACAACGGGAGTCGCGCGAACTGCATGTTGGTATGTTTCAGATAGCGACGGCGTACTGCAAGCCTCGCTGCAGACTAGAGGGAGTTGGGCATCGTCACCACGTATTTTTGCGACTCGCGGCATAGGATTCTCTCATGCTACCCCTGACACCCGCGCCGCCGCCTTCGAACTGCGCGCGGCTCCCCTGGCTCAGATCTCCACCCGGAAACAACTACGCACCTACGCGAATCTAGTCACATCAGTCAAACTTTTGGATGCCTCAGCTAACCTCGTCCGAGAATGGGGCGCCTCAAGCGTGGGCTGGCCGCCCCCATGGCTGCATGTAATTCCCGAAGCATGTGGGCGTCCCTGTGTATATTATCTAGTAGCCTGCCCACCAGTTTCCTCTTCTTATCGCTGTTCTCACATCGCTCTCTCTTTGGCTTCCGGTGGAATACCATTCTTTCATTCTTTTGACTCTTTACACACTCCTTTGAAATCAAGAGCCTACAGAGTCTGTGACTCGGTCCTTTCATTTTTACACAGCTCACTCTTTTTGCTGTCTTACGACTCATACAAACTTTCCACACACCCAAAAACCACCATCAAGTCAATATGCGTTTCGATGTCGTCTCCCTCACGGCTGGCTTCGCCGCCACTGCCTCTGCTCAATGCGTTGGCAACTACTTCAGCTTCTACAACCGCGCCGGCAATGCCATGAGCTACCAGCGCCTCGACCCCGGTCTGTTCCCCGGAACCGAGAGCCCCCATCTCCACTCCTTCGATGGAGGAAACGGACTCTCCAAGTCCATGGGCTTTGCGGACACCCAGGCCTCTGACTGCACCACCGCCCGTATCAAGACCGACAAGTCCCTATACTGGCGCCCAACCCTGTTCTTCACCAACGGAACCAAACTCTACCGCGTACCCGAGCTAGCCACCAAGATCTACTACAAGTACGGCGATGGCAACAACTGGGCAAACGTCACTGCTTACCCAGAGGACTTCAACATGATCGCTGGTAGCCCGCTAAAGCGCTCCGACGGCGACAACCCAGCCGGTGTCCGCTGGGGCTGCCACGAGCCCGACGGTGGCTCCACAGCCATCTTCGCCAACGGCTTCCCCAAGGGTTTCAGCACCTGCAAGTACGGCTTCGCTTCCGAAGTCACCTTTCCTTCGTGTTGGAACGGCGAGAAGATGGATCCCAAGAACCCCAACGCGCACATGGCCTACCCCAACGGCAACGCTGGTGTTGGTATCGAGAACTGCCCTATGACCCACAGAGCTGCGCGCTTCCCTACCCTCTTCATTGAGTACTGGTGGGACGTTACCAAGTTCACTTTCGGTCCCGATGAGGCCCCTTGGGTCCTGTCCAACGGTGACCCAACTGGTTACGGGTTCCACGGTGATTTTGTAAGTTCTTCTTTACTCCTCTTGACTCTCTCTTCTAACAAGACAACAGATGAACGGATGGGAAGCCGGTGTCCTCGAAAAGGCCGTTAGCGAGAACGATGGATGCAAGTGCGGCTGCGGCTGTGGACAAGAAGAGATGGAGCAGTGCTTTGGCTCCGCGAACGTCAACAAGGATAGCGATGAGTCCTGGAAGAGCTGCTCCGCTATGGAGGCATACGCTGGTGACGACGGAAGCGTTCTTGACGCTCTCCCAGGATGCAACCCCATCCAGTCTGGCCCTGCTTCTGCTACTTCCGCAACCGGCGCCGGCTGCACCGCTGCCGCTGTTCCTGCTGGCAACAGCACCACCGCCTACTCCGCTATCATGACCCCCACTGGCGTCGCTGCCATCTCTTCTGGATACGCCGCTGCCTCTTCTGCTGCTTACTCTGCGGCCGTACCCAACGCATCTTCTGCCGCTACCGCTCTCCCCCTGAGTTCATACTCAGCATACAGCGCCGTGCTTCCAGACAAGCAAATCAACACAGCAACTGGCGGCTACAACGCTGCACAGCCTACCCCAATGGTACCATCTGAGGTTGCAGATGCCACTACCTGCGCCAGCGCACCTATCGTCACCGAGACGGTCAAGCAGACAGTTACTGTCACTGTCGACGGCACTGCGGCTATGAGCACTGGCTCTTACGGCGCATACTAAGCCGTGCTTGGTCGCAATACACTTCTTCGGCGTTGTGAAGAACTTGGAATAAAAGAATCTGGTCGTATAGCTTTACGTTCCTTGTATATATTTCTGCCGATTTTAGGCAACCAAAGACACATAGAGGATGGATAGCTTTCCTCAATCAATCGTTTATCGAAGACGCTTTTTGCTTGCTATTAGGCTATCATACGTGTCTCTCCCTATCGCATCTAGTACTCAAGAAGAGGTAAGACTATATGACTGTCATGCTCACCTCCCACATGAATTACATGTCTACCTTTATTAGCCGTGGTAAAACTTCCTCGCAAAGCCTCGAACTCAGGCAATCGCATATCATGCCCACTGACACGAAGCACCAACTTTTCGCCAGCTTCAAACTGGATTCCAGCAGCCCATATCCCAATCTCTAGCTTGACAACCTGTCCAGGAGAAATCTTCGCTTCACTTGTGTGCTTGTGATGCGGAAAGTTGTGCTTCGAGATGCTCGACTCAATCTCTCGATGGCTAGCACGCAAGATGCCGGATGGTCCGACGTACTGCAGCGTATTGAGAGTAGGCAATTCATGGGGGTCCACGATATCATCAATACCGTCGCCTCCTACGGCTTTGAGCTCGGCAAATGGTATGTTGCAGTTGCGAAGAATGCGGCCATCCTTGTCGATTTTGCGGAGTATAACGAAGACGTCAAGATCATCATGATCTGGGCAGGACATGTAAAGCACAGCCTTTGAGCTTCCGATCAGCCTCGTTTGCTTGGCAAAGGTGTAGGTGAAGCTTAATTCCTCGGGATCAGCATCAAAATTCTCTGCCTTGGCGTCGGATGCATAAGAACATTGTCCACCTTTAACAAGTTCAGAGGAGGACTGGAGAGTGCCGTCTGTCGAGAGACGCAGGTGAATGTCTTCAGCCTCGGGTACCGGCCACGCAGTGAAAGGTAGGTTATCGACGTTTGCCTGTACCATGTCAGAACGGCTTCCGTGTGAGTTGCTGGGGCTTCAAGATCCTACCGTGTTATAGCGTATGACCGAAATTCGTGCTCGGGGAGTTTGCTCCCAGCCATTGTCTTGCCCCTTCATGTAGAAATCGAGAAATTTCTTGAAGTCGGCGATGGAATGCTTCTGGTAAAGATCATGCCATTCCTGGGTAGAGTGTAGTCGGAGCCATTTCTTTTCGTGCCGAATATCCTCGAACCCTCGGAGCGACCCAACTGTGTGCAGTACAGTCGACATGCTAGCCAGAACGTAGGCAGGGCATTGGATGGAGCTTATGTCAGCACGCTTGTCCTGCCAGTACTCATTCATGGCAGGATATCTCTGCAACATAGCAATGACATCTTCCCGCTGTTGGTTTCCTATCGTTTGTTCAGCATCGTGAGTAAGATACAGGTTCTGTGAACTGCATACCGTAGAGAAAAGGATTGACGAAACCAAAGAAATGATACGATGGAACACCGCCTCGACAGAGAACTTCTCGATAGAGGTCACTGGAACCCTCCAGAGGCAGTATACATGTGAGATGAGGAGGTCGCTCAGCTGCAATAAACCACTGCGTCATGGCGAGCCAGGAGTTACCAGCTAATGCAACTTTGCCAGTACACCACGAGAGTTGAGATATATGCTCAACAACATCGTGACCATCTCGACCTTCCGCTGTTCCTAGGAACCTAGAGTTTCCCTCAGATCCTGGTTCATAGTCAGCGTGTGTGTACATTTCCAGACAATCAACATTATACGGACCAAAAACGCCCCTTGCGTCGACGTTGACTACTGCGTAGCCGTGTGTTACCCATTCGGCAGGATCGAAGGCTTCAAAGCTTTGGAAGCCAGACACTGCGCTTCGCGGTATTCCAGATCGACCTGGGATGAGGTTGAGGTCGAAAAATCCTTGTCGAAATGTAAGCTCAGAACCGCAATATGGGTACATCACAGGGCTCGCAGAAGTGAAGCGAAATCGTGACTTTAAATGCTCCACTAACCTGAGCCGGATTTCCCATACGGTGAATAATGCACGATGGCGGGCACGGTAGACATGTTGGCAGGGCGAAATACATCTGCACGTATCACGACTCCGTCGCGCAAGGGAATCGGTATGTCTTGCTCGAACACAGCTTCTGTATCCCAAGCTCTACAGTCGGGCTCTTTTTTGTAGCCAACGGGAAGCACAGTGGTACGTTGATTGAGGCCCTCATACCTTGCTCCAGGCTCGTTCAGCGGGGTCGCGTCGGTCTGTAGCACATGAATGCTTCCGATGCGAAACTCGCTTGAACTCATTGCGATAGTTCGAATAGAAAAGAAGAATCGGCTATGTATGGTCGAGCTGCCAATGAATATGATCCATGAGGCAGCAACAGTGTCAAGACAATATATACCTATGCTGAGCGGGCCACTCGCCGAGCGTTCCGCCAACAGTGGATAATGTTCCTTTTGCTCCGCTCAATTGTTTCTAGCTCAAAGCACCCGGTGTTGATAGGTCACCTCGATGATGTGGCAGGAACGACTCGAACTTGACCATACTGATGGCCCCGCAGAGATGGTCATGATGGTCACAATGAATCATAAGCCTTCGAAGGTTGCCTGCTGTAAAAGAGGGGTCGTTTCTTAGGACCAAAGACACTACGAGAGACGTTATAGTTTGGTTTTATTGAAGACATACAATGCTGCATACTGTGAACAAAAATCTTTGGCAGATACACTTGCATTGCGATTAATTACCGTGCTACTTAGCCGCGTTGTGCCTGCGTTTTAGCAGTAGTACGTCGACGAACAATCCTTGGGTTAAATGCATCAATTCGCAGACGATGACATGCGGGCAAAATGTGGGATCGAGATGGAGCCACTTGTGGTGGGCTTTACCTGTTGTTGATGATTCGGGCATTCGGCCCACTGGATAGGCGGAATGTGGGACAAAATCGGCGCTCATTGTGACCGACCGCCGTTATGAAATCACTGTTATCCACTTACCAACCCCACCAATGTTCACACCCAAAGTCCTTCGTGAGAAGACTTGAAGCTCGAGCGCGAAGCGCGGAAGACCGCCGTTTTGATGTTCCATATTGGACCGAGAGTGGCGTAGTGTGAGATCCCACATGCTTACCATACCAAGTTAGTAAAGTTGGTGACAACCTTGGAAGGGTCACCCGTTGCAAACAAGAGAGGGGAATGTGGAGCCGAAAGGCTAAAGCCAGTGGGGACTCTTGCTGTAAAGTTCATGTGTCTTAGCTTTCATTGTTGTTCATCAATCCTACGAGAACTAAATGGCAAATCCTCAGCAGTACCCAGTTGCCATCATAGGGGGAGGCCCTGTAGGCCTTTCTTCCTCGATCCTGTTATCCCTTCGCAACATTCCACACGTGCTTTTCGAGCGTCACCTTAGCACTTCGATCCACCCAAAGGCATGCGGCCTAAACCAACGAACCGGCGAGATATTCCGTCAGATGGGAGTGGAGCAGGAGATCATTGCCAATGGAGCACCTCCGAACACATGTTCCAAGACCGCGTGGTTCACTTCTCTTGGACCGACTGGTACTAAGATAGTCTCGCGCGACGCATGGGGTGGTGGGAGATATGCCGACGAGTATAGGACAGCAAGTCCTAGTCGATATGTCATGTTACCACAGATACGCCTCGAGCCCATTCTTTCACGAAAGGCCCAGCAGTTGAATCCGAGTGGTGTGCAGTATGGTGCCGAAGTAACTGACATCGTGGAGAAGGAGGACTACGTGGAGTTAAAGATTGAATTCCGAGAAAAGTCTAGACCTAGCGAGACTATACGGGCTTCGTATGTTATTGCAGCTGATGGCGGGCGTTTGGTTGCAAACAAACTTGGTATTGAACTACATGGGGAGAAGAACATAGTCGACATGGTGACTGCACACATTCGAGCATCAATAGCTGCCAAACATCCCGAACCAGAAGCCTTCATAACTTGGTTCATAAACCCGGAGATGGGCGGAAGTATTGGAACTGGCTATATGTACCACCTTGGCCCATACCCCAACAACCCCGCCACAGAAGAGTGGATTTTTGCCTGCGGCATCCTCCCGAACGACCCCATGCGATTCGACAATGACGCAATGATGAGTCGATTGAAGAAGAGCATCAACATTCCAGACTTGGAAGTTGAAGTCATGAGTTTGAGCCACTGGTCCGTCAACGCTATCTCAGCTGAGCGGTATCGCAGTAGAAATGGCCGCACTTTCCTTGTTGGTGATGCGGCGCATCGCCTACCGCCATGGGGTGCTCTTGGAGTCAACACAGGTATTCAAGATGCCAACAACTTGGTTTGGAAACTAGCTTTGATGCTCCAGGGCAAACTTGGGAATGGTGACTTTCTGGACACATACGATGAAGAACGCCGCCCAATTGGAGAAAGAGTAGCGCAATCGAGCCTGGTTAATATGCGGAGTCACAACATGATCATGGACAAGGCCTTGGGTATCAGCAAAGACACTTCAGTCGAAGAGAACAAAAGAGCACTCCAAACCCTGTTTGACAAAAGTCATCCAGACTATGCTCAAATGCACGCGGATGTGGAGAGAGCGCAAACCATTCTCGATACCGAGTTCAAGGCCCCAGGGGCAGAGATAGGCTGGTTTTATCCAACTGCTGATTTTGACAATGAAGGGCGGGATAACTTTCACGGTGGCCAAGTGGATGAGAATGGGAAGCTGAAGGCCACCGAATACTACCCTTCGACCATTCCTGGGCATCACTTTCCCCACATGTGGCTGAGGAAGGGAGATGATGTCATTTCGTCCCGCGATCTTTTGTGCTTGGGCCGTTTCGTTCTCTTCACGGCAGACCCTACTACTTGGAACCAGGTTAGAGACGAGTTAATCCACGTTGTTGCTATTGATGGTAGGGAATTGGAAGATGTTGATGGGAAATGGTATCAGCTTTCCGAGGTAGGAGGTAATGGAGCGGTTCTAGTAAGACCAGATGGTATTGTGGCCTGGAGGAGCAAGTCAGGTGGAGAGGACAATGTAAATAGACTGCATGCAATTGTTGCACAGATACTACGAAAGTAGTCTAGTATAGACAATACACTTGCCTATCGTCAACATCCTGACCTGACCTTGTAGACCTAGTATGTGATGCTGTGCGAGTTGGCGTGCGATTTCAATCCCAACAGACCAGCGCCGCAGCGTCGAATCTCCTTAATTTTGTAGCTAGTGAATGCGTGATCGCATGCGCTTCTTGCAAAGTCGCGTTGCCCAGCTAGAATCTGAACACCCATCTACATGTTGCGTACAAGCTACAGGCTCGCCTCCGATGCGATACCAAGGTAGACGGGCCAACAAGCCCCCACCACCCAACGATGGTGTCTAAGAGTGTTATATTAAGTAGGTTATAAGGCCGCCGGCTGGAGGAGACAAAGAGGGCCTAAAAAAGTTGTCAACATTTCATTCTTCGGTTATAAGTTCAGCCGGTTCAAAATGGTGATTTGGGGGCTTTCCAAGTAGGAAGATACCCCAACAGCCTAACGAAAAGGCAAAAAAGTTCGGTGCGCTCTTTCGAGCGCCGATGATGACTCATCGGAGGTTTGAACTCCGGACCTTCAGTGTCCTAACTGGCGTTTGACGGCCGTTGTTAGACTGACGTGATAACCAACTACACCAACGAGCCTTGTTTGATGAGTTGTGGTCAAAAAATATGTTATATATCCCAATTTTTGGTCAGTCGCAGCTGTCGCGGGGCTCGAAAGCAGGTCGCAAGGGGAATTGGAAGGTAGGGAAACCTCGGCGAGACCAACTCATTTTGGCAACCAAATTAGGTATCACACAAGACCTTCCGCTGCTAGCGTAACAAGCTTGATTACTCGTCGAGTACCCGTCCGCTTGGTATTCGTCATGATTGTTATGGAAAATGAAGTATTCTGAATCTTCAAGTCGAACGCCATTATGCTTCTGATGTGCAGTCTTTTGTGATATGCGAATAGAACGATGATGAGTTTGTATATTTGTACTGGGCGATATAATAGCGCTTGTCGCATTATGTATACTTTGATAGAGCCGGGGTTTGGGTCGCGTTGCGCAGTCTGTGGATGGTGGTGGGCTTACGGGCAAAGGTTGGTCATGATCGAAGGGGTGCGAGGTTGCGTTAGAATTCTGCTGTAGACGTGGTCAGCAGTTGCGACTATGGTGACGGTGAACGGTGACTTCCTCATTGAGCGCCTCGGAGCGCAGCCGACGCGAGATAGAAGGAGCTGCCACAACAGCCCGCGCACCTCAACACCATTGGTCGGCACTCGTCCTCCGGCACCAACTGATCCAAAAATAAAAGGAACTTCTATCGAACGTCACGTTGTCTCTGTATGCAAATCTTTCCCTGCAAAGACCATGTCAAACATATACGCGGCATCGCTTCGCCGGCACAGCGTTCTCCAGTTCGGCAGCGAAGCGAACCCCCCAGCATCACACCAGCCACACGCAGCCGTTGACCCACTCGGATCGCTCCACCAAAAACTCCGTGCTAGGATAAACGGCAGCTCGACATGCGATTCGATCAGAAGTGCCATCCGAAGTGTGGCTAGTGAGGGGCGAATCTGCGGGTGCGCGACCTCATAACCGGCTGTCAGGACCCTGATCTGCATGAGATTCTACCAAGTGCAGTAACGAGACCGGTGGGCTGTGTGGACGATCTCTTGGTCAATCGCCACACTACGACGACTTTGCTTGCTCCAACGAATTATGAACGTCGACGGCATGCGATAATGTACATGGGTGTGAACAGTCAAAAAGTATGGCCACCGCTGCCGCTGGGCACTGGTTTCCTGACTGTTCGTACTATTGTTGCCAGACATGAAGCGCTGACGCATCATTGCGAACACTGACTCCGCTCTGCTTGCGATTTATTATTACTGCTTTCTTTACCACATTCGCTCGTTCGCGCATACATGCATTCGCTAAGAGGATGGAATTGGCTGGCCTTGGGGAGCGTGGTGGGATTGGTACACGGCGCCGCGCTGCCTGTTATCACACCTGCACCAAGGCCAGATGTTCGATCGCTACAGTATAGACAAGATCCAGATGCGTAAGGCTCCTTGCCTCATTTCAGATTTGACTGCGCTGACAATGACAATAGTATTGAGATCTTGCAAGTGCTCATTACTGCACTTCCACTTTCGCTAAGGCAAATTGCCGCGACAAACATACCCGCTGTCTCCAGCATACTATGGGAGGAATTCCTAGACGACAACCGACCACAATGGTTCGAAGAACTGCCATACGATATACAGTCTTACTTCATACAAGAGTTTGGACCAGCTACGGCAGCACCACCTGCGAGCGAAGCATTGCCGACTGACGTTACCGCATCCCCAACGGCGTTACCTACAGAGACGACTTCAAATGTAGACTCATCGGTGCCTGAGTCATTATCTACTAGCGCAGTACAATCTTCCGCGATATCAGCATCCGAAGGCTTGAGCACAACCCCTACACCTACGGCATCTTCGGGCAGTGCCTCGAGCGATACCACCAGTCTGGTATCCTCCTCTGGATCTTCTTCCGAACTTTCTACCACACCCGCGACTTCATCATCATCATCTTCGGAAACTACCGTCTCAACGTCTGCATCCTCTCCCGCAAGTTCATCTGCAACTCTAAACCCAACGGCAGATCCTGTGGCACCCGCTTCCAGTGATGCTGGCCTGACTAGACGCGAGAAGATCGGACTTGGGGTGGGCGTGCCATTAGCAGTACTCGCTCTTGCCGCGTTACTACTTGCATGCTGCTTTATCTTGCGCCGAAAGAGAAGGAGGTCCATCGAAGGCAGTCAGCCCCCATCTTCACCTGGCTTTATTCCCCGTTTTTCGTTCCAGGACCGAGGACTGGGCGGCGAGAACTTCGAACATAGGCGACCTTTGAATCCCGCATCACACCAGACGAGCCGGTTCGTTGAGGACATGAACTGGGAAGATGATGGCTATGATCCAGCTCCTATGTCTACAGTCTACCATGGTCATCAGATTCCACCGGCTGCAGCACCCACACCGTCTCCGGCAAACAACATTGCGACTGCAGGCATACCCCATCACAATGATGGTAATTCAATGCCAGTAGCATCGACACCAATGTCAATGCAAGACAACCACACACCCATTCTGGCGCCCGCACTCTACCACAGCCACTCATCAAATCGTGCCCGCGGCCGACGAACAAGCTACACCAGCCTCCACGCCGTGGCTGAAGTAACAGAACCCGACGAAGAATTGAATGGAGATTCTCCAGTATTGGGCCGTAATAACTCACCACCCAAGACAGGTCCTCGGAGGCCTGGTATGTCCGCTCTGGACACGCTTCCCGTCCCCACCGTAGCGAGCATAAAACGCAAACCCTTACCAACCAGTCCCATCAGCAGCCCAGCAGCCGAAGCATCGCGAGGTCTTCTCCGCCCCTCTCTCGCATACAACAGCGCCGACCACAGCGGAAGCAGTTCCTCCGGTCTCGCCGTCTCCAGCTTGTCCACCAATTCCGGCCATGGATACCACTCAGACGATTCCCGACCCATATCTCCTATTACCCACCAGCAACCGTCCTCAAATCCTTTTGCGGGTGGATATGCTTACCTTGAAGACTACGGCCCTGAGTACTCGAATAACGGGTATACCGACCAGGACGATGAGCTTTATGGTGGTCATAGAAGCCTCGATCGCTACCCAGAGCCCAGTCCGTCTCGACGTAAGAGCTCGAAAACCGAGTGGCCGTTGAGGAACGTTATGGGTGGTGGGCAGAAGAGGACGAGAAGCCCCATGTGGGATCGCGTTTACGAACGCGTATGAGTGCATTCGATGCATAGTAACGATTTCCTTTGTTGTATATACAAGCATTTTGCATGCTATGACTTAGCACTGGCGTTTGATTGTTACGGGGTTAATGAGTGTCGATGATACCCACTCCTTGATACGAAGATACACAGCGTCTCTGTACGCAATATGTTTTGTTATTTATACCCTCCTTCGCAGTACACACGAGGTTCGATTGTTAGCTATCGAGAACAGGGACTCAATGATATCACAGGCAAACATTACTTCCGATAATGTGCATGGAATAAAACTCGCTAAATGTTCCGAGTAGTCTACAAGACCACGTGCATGTACAGTCTACTCATCAAAACCTCGGTCCGACACTGCTGACGCGGACCCTTCGTCTGTGCTGACCCGTGACTGCGGCCGAGCACACCAGCCAACTCATCACACTCTACGTCCAGACTAACCTCTTAGTCGTGGAACTTCCTGTTCTCATTCTCACCGAAGAGCGTGACCCTGATGGATGGCAGGGCCTGAGACTCGAGTAGCTTCAATCGTTCTTGGAAGGTGTTGTTGATGTCGATTCGGCCGTTTGTACCAACGATCATGGCACCGCCAGCGCTGTCTGAAGTTAGTCTTGTCCTGGCAGACGATACTGTGTAGACCTACGATCCCTCTGGCAGCGGGTCGCTCTCATCAATAGTGATGGAGACTTCCTTGCCAATGTTCTTCTTGTACTCGGTCTGCGCCTCCTCGATAGCCTTCTTGGTGAGGTCGTAATCGGCCTTCCGGACCTTGACCTGCAGCTTGTCCTCGTTAAGCGCATAGGCGCCCTCGACAATAAGGTCCTTCATGACGCTCTGGTACTTCTTCTTGTCCTTTGAAACATCGCCCAGCTTCTTCTCGGCGTTCTCAAACAGGCGGTTGAGCAGCTCCTGGCGGGCGGAGAGGATGCGTAATCGGCTCTTGTTGGAGACGGTGGAGCGGGTGATTTGCTGCGACATGCTGGCCTGCTTGAACTTCTTCTCGTACGACGAGTCGATCGAGGCCTGTTCCTGGCGCACGAGCTTGGACTTCTCGATGGCAAACTCCTCGTCGGCCTTGAGGCGGATTTCGTTTGCCTTTTCCATGGCTTCCTGGCGGATAAAGGCCGTCATCTTCTTGAGCTCGCCGGCGACCTGCCATGGTGGTGCATGTTAGCTATCGTGTTGACGTAGTGGGCGGGGAGCTTGCCGCGGGCTGGAGCGGGTGGGGAGTTGTACCTGGTCGTCGGAGAGGGCGTGTACTTGCGACATGATGGCGGTATTGTGTGAGGGTCCTCTGGGCTACGGGGGAGGGTTATGGGTGCTGGCGTCGAGGGCAGCAGTGACGGAGCTTGGAGGTTGAAGTTCAAGCTTGGGCCCCCAGAGACCCAGATGCTGCCCGCGGTTACCCAGGTACGTCTGCAGATGATCCATGGCACGACGTCGCAGGTGCGCGGTGATAATATTACAGGTGTCACACTATGAATAGAATGAATCTATCTCTTGTTCAACCTCCTCGCGTCGTCTCGTTGCTGCTCCCGAACGCTCTCCTCCTGAATCCAACTACATCATCAGTCGGCTGATCCCTGCCACCTGCACGGCGTCGGCTAGTCTTCCCCAACCGTCTCGTGCACTTCACCGACTCAGCGTGACGTTTCGCGACTTCCACGTCTGCGCTGTCTACTATCAAGACTACACATCCCCGCCTTCATACCCCCATACGCACAGCATGCGCCCGACGACTAGGTAGCGATACGCGCAGTGCAGCGACAACAGCCGACACGAACCATGGTGGAACTCTCGCCGGGCGCGAGCGTTGCTGTAAGTACCCAGGGCGCAATACCACCAGGGGAATAGAGCGCTAACGGACGGACATGCAGCTTGGAGTAATGGTCGGCCTTGCCTCTACCAGCATACAGAGCGTTGGCCTGACGCTGCAGCGGAAGTCCCATCTCTTGGAGGAAGAGAAGGACGACGACGATGAGAGGCGACCCCCATACAAGCGGCGGAGATGGCAGGCACGTACACCCCTCGCACATGTGGAGATGACTCACTAACATGAACACAGCTGGGCATGCTCATGTTCGTCGTGGCAAACATCGTCGGCAGTACCATTCAAATCACCACCCTCCCCCTTCCCGTCCTCTCCACCCTCCAGGCATCCGGCCTCGTCTTCAACTCGATATGCGCCTCCATAATCCTCAGCGAACCCTTTACGCGGTACTCCTTCGTCGGCACAATGCTCGTTGCGATAGGCGCATTGTTGATCGCCTTGTTCGGTGCCATTGCAGAACCGTCGCATAACCTGGATCAACTGTTGGCGCTGCTGGGACGAAACACCTTCATCGTATGGATGATCATGACGGGCATAGTCGTTGTCATTCTGGTCATTGCCACTTGGTCACTACACCGCATGCATCCGCGGACCACTCCTCGACAACGCCTCGTACGCGGTATTCTCTTCGGTTGCGTCAGTGGCATACTCTCCGCGCATTCGCTTTTAATCGCAAAGAGTGCCGTCGAGCTTCTCGTTCGGACTCTCGTCGACCGCCATAATCAGTTTGACCGCTGGCAGTCGTGGATGATCCTAGTCGGACTGGTCGTATTCGCCCTGACCCAACTCTACTACATGCATCGCGGACTGAAGTTGGTTAGCACGAGCGTGCTCTACCCCTTGGTCTTTTGCGTGTACAACATCATCGCTATTATAGACGGCCTCATCTACTTCGACCAAAACGATCGCCTTTCGAGTCTGCACGCTGGACTGATCGCGCTTGGAACTGTTATTCTGCTCGCGGGAGTTGTCTGCTTGAGCTGGCGACTTGAAGACAACGAGGAAGAGCCCATGTCACCAGTAGCAAGCAAGCACATGGGCAGGGTTCCGATGCCTCAAAATGTGCTGGAACCCGGTATCGGCCTTGCGCATGGCCATAGCCACGACGAACCCGACTCACCTCTGGACATCGACGAAGAAGCCCCAGGCGCCCATGGCTATGCCTCGGAGCAAGCCAAACGAAAAGCTGTCGACGAAAGAACACCTCTGCTAGCCCGCGCTCCAACAGGTCCCTCGCTGACACTCGCCAATCCGAAGAAGCGAGCATCGGTAGATGCCGGTGACTTGAAAAGTCCTATACAATCCCGTAGACTGCCGAGGAGACGGAGAATGACTATCTCGGAGGAGACAAATGAGATATGGGATGAGCTCAACGATCGAGAGACTTTGCCTTCTCCTGCTCGGCGATCCGTGGATCTAGAACGACGACCAAGATCTGGGACTTTGCCTCCACGGAGAAATGCTGCGCAGTCCGCTTGGCTCAACCAGATGCGTCGACGATCCTGGTTTGAAGGGTTCGGCAGCCGAGGCAGGAGCGTGTCGCAGGGAAAGAGGCCCATGGACAGTTCTGCATCACTTCTGAATCATCCCGATCCAGAAGATGGCGATATGTCTGATACGGATATGGACGAAACATCCCGGAGACGACAAACCTGGGGGTACGGCCAAGGGAGCAAGAGCCAGGATAACCTGGGCGACTGGTTCAAGTTGAAGTGGTGGCGGAAGAAGTGGAAAGAGGACGAAGACCACGAAGAAGAACGACCTACATGATATCACTACCGCATCCATTAATTTGAATATACCCAGAATGTATTATCAGAATTCAAGACGCAGTTCTTAAGGATTACTACGCAACGCGACCGTCCCTGTCGGGCAACAAGCATTCCTGCTTTGTAAAAGTCTCCTCGAGTCATAGCCAGAAGCCTCATTTATACGCTAACCCACACATGCACGACATCCAGATGGAGTAATCCTTTCCTGGCGATAAGCTCATAGCCAATCGCAGATTACATCCCATTGCCCCACCTTATACCACCCCACTATCCGCATCTACCTCCAACGTTTCGGGGTCGTCTTGCTCATGACCTGCAGCGCACACTACTAGATGGCAGTGGATAAGATCTGAAAGCTTAGCAAAGCTCCAGCCAAATCAGCCATGTGTTTGACGCACGCCAAGCGCCATATGCAGTATCAAAGTCCCAGACATGCGCTGCTCAAAGCGTACATGGCGGCTGACTGGATGACAGAAGCAGGGGAGCTCCAGTCGACAGGCTGTATCTTGAGAAGCTGATGATGCCGATGTCGTAAGTGTTGGAGATTAGGCGATGGTAGATAAGGTTGTAGTACATAAGGCCGGTCGTGCCCTTGCGCCTTCCATTCACAGCGGCCTCTACAACACCTCCAGAGAACCCAAACAACCAACACTATACCAACCACCACCATGCCAGCAATGCAATACTTCGAAAAAGCGCAAACAGCCTTCAAGCCCCCTCTGATTGCCAACGAGAACGCCTACCTCGGTGACGTCGTATCATCGTACGCCCACCCCCTCCCATCCCGTCCCACCAACCCACTACAGCCAACTAACCCTCCCGCCCTCACCAGCGAGTCCACAGACCCAGACAAGCCCATCAGCGGTGGTTTTTACCGCCTTGAAAAAGGAACACCACTCGTGTACACGTATACGTACGATGAGATAAAGATCATAGTAGACGGCCACTTCTACATCAGCGATGAGACGGGCAAGGAAGTGAAGGCTGAGAAGGGGGATGTGTTTTTCTTTCCCAAGGGGAGTAAGATTACGTTTAAGACGGATGACTTTGGGTTGGGGTTCTTTGTTGGGCAGAGGAAAAAGGATGGTGCGTAGGTAGGTGGGGAATGGAGAATGGAGTAAGAGACGTTTCGGAATGAAGAATGTACCTCACAAACACTGATTGATGCAGTTTCTTGCCTTACTTACCAAATCTCTGATCATTCCATTTTCTCGCATTCGAGGATATCCTTGTGTAGCCGGTGGTATGTGTTGCGACGACTCGCGCTGCTCGCCTTGCTTACCAATGTCGGCGTATTGCATCCAATCAAGAAGTTCACATCGCAACGTATCAGCCATGAGCCTCAAGATTTCGAGACGCATTTGTAAAACCCTGAGTTGGAAGTTGTCGCAGAAAAGACCAGAAATGGACGCCTTAGGACAATGCTCGCTAAGCATCCTCGGTGTCGCTGCATGCTGACTGCATCTCGGTATTGGTGGAAGTATCAGGGTATGGTATAAGTATGCTCACTTTAGCTCACGATAAACATTAGAATCTCACCATCTTCACTGAGTTACCACTGAGAAAAAAAGCACTTCTACAATGTCTACCCCAACCACCTACACAGCATGGACTGTTCCGGCAACAGCCACCAAGCTGTCCGACCTAACGAAACAGCAAAAGGCTATCCCAACCCCAGGGCCTAAACAAGTCCTCCTCAAGATGACAGCAGCCTCCCTCAACTACCGCGACGTCCTCATCTCCACCCGCTCCCCCCAATACCCAGGAGACCATAAACCCGACCTCGTCCCCGGCTCCGATGGAGCCGGCATCATCCACTCGACTGGCGCAGACTCTGCCTGGGCGGGTAAGAAAGGACTTGCAGTCATGTTCAACCAGAATGGGTGGCTGTCAGGAGACTTCCGCAACCTGGACTTTGCCACGATCCTAGGCGGTACGAGCCAGGACGGCACGTTGCAGGAGTATCTTGTGCTGCCTGATGAGTGGATTGTAGAGCAGCCAAAGAACTTGACGGCGGTTGAGGCGGCCTCTCTGACAACGGCGGGGGCGACGGCCTGGTGTGCGATCCGTGGGCAACTCGATGGAAGGCTGGATGGGAGTGTTGGAGATTGGACGGGGGGCTGGACTGATAGGAGATTGGAAGGGAAGTGGGTGCTTACTTTAGGGACAGGTGGGGTTAGCTGTTTTGGGATTCAGGTAAGTCGCCATGTGTGTTGCAAGTGCACGTATACTGACAGTGTGTAGATTGCTTCGGCTCTCGGCGCAACGGTCATCGCCACTTCCTCTTCGGACAGCAAGCTCGAGATTGCGAAAAGCCTCGGTGCGACGCACCTCATCAACTATGTCAACACGCCGGATTGGGACCAAGAAGTCTCTCGGATTACTGGTGGGAAGGGCGTTGATCATGTTATCGAAACAGGTGGTGCAGGCACGTTAATGAAGTCTATCAACAGCACCCGCGTTGGCGGTTTGATCAGCATGCCCGGTGTCTTGACACCGAATGCGCCTATCGACGCGGCTTTTGTCCCCAGCATCTTGTTTACTGCGAAGACTGGTAAGCCTTCCACTGTTTCTCTTCTGCCTGGTATGCTGACGAGGAAAACACAGTGAAAGGATGTTGCGCTTTCCCGCGTGACGCAGTCGTCGAACTAGCGCACTTCGTCGAGGCACACGACATCAAGCCAGTAGTGGCGCACGAATACGCTTTCGACCAGACTCCTGAGGCATTTGAGATGATGGCGAAGCAGAGTGCTGTGGGAAAGATCGCTGTGAAGATCGGTGGAGAGTTGTGAGGAGTCCGACAGTTCTGACGTTGTCACCACCGTCGTTACAATACCTGTCAAATCTAATTACAACATACATGCAGTACGTGGTATTCGACACGGTCCCTTTTCATGGTACAATTCGTATTGTGCAAGCTGTGAGTGGCTCGTTTCGCTGTGTCATCGCACTACCAGTCAACGCAACGCAACGCCAACCAAAGTTCAAGATGCTAGGGTACCTTCCTACGAAGCACCTTGTGAGTATATAACAGCGGTGTCTGTGTTTCCAAGCCGTAACTTTGCACAGTGCTGCCACCCCAATCTCATATACCCCACCCTTGCAAAATGGATTCACTCAAGCACATAAGCCGGATCTTCCTGGGTCTCAGTGGAGAGCGAGGCAAGGCGAGCATGAATTCGCCATTCAACACAAATGATTTAGAGGACTACGCAAAGTTCAAAAGGCTATTTAGCCAAACACGTTGGTTGGGGGAAGGGGGTGATGGCACAGTCTACGCATACCAACACAAATATTCAAAAGCGCTTATTGCAGTAAAGACTCCAATTGCGTACGACACTCCATACCATGCATCTCAAGCAGCCAAGCGCATCAATGAAGAGATCGTAAATCTTACAATCCTCGGTCAACATGAGCACATCGCCGGAATGCTAGCATGGTCGCATAACCATCATCCCGCGGCCCCAGCAATCTTCCTTCCATTCTGCCAGCTAGGAGATCTTCTTACGTACATGGCCGACTATAAAAAACAGCAACTCCATCATTCAGCGTCTATCATACGAACATCCGAAGTCACGATCTGGAAGTGTCTTCGCGATATGGCTCTTGCTCTGGATTACTTGCACAATATGAACGACGATTTTGGCTACGTACACAACGACATCAAACCAGACAACATCCTAGTCGAATTTCCCAAAGGCTGGAACACAGAAGATGGGATTCCCGATGAACCAGTTTTCAGATTAACTGACTTCGCTCGCATGACAAGATACCCTCTACTCGAAGGCGAGAAGCCCAACAAAGATTTTCTCGGTACACCCGAATACGCACCACCATTAGCTGAACAAAGGAACCAGCGTCCGTCCGCTGATATCTGGGCTCTGGGTGCAACCTTACAAACGCTCGCTTTGCGCATGTATCCCGTTCAATCGCGGGAGTCTTTCATTGAGAGCCGCTTGAAAGCATACAAACCAGCGCCTATCCTGGAAGACGACGGCGCCTGGAAACGAGTGCATTGGCGCGTTCTCATACCCACCGTTTATCGACCCCTCAATGCTACACAAGAGGAACTCGAAAAGTACCACGACGTCCGGAGAAGTATCTCTACCGACGATGTGGACGCGCATAGGGTGTGGAAGCATAGGCCGTATAGTAAAACACTCAATATCTGGTATAAGAGCATGTGGAACCGAGACGAGGAGAAAAGAATTACGGCGAAGCAGCTTGTCGAGTGGTGTGTTCCGCTAGTTTCGAGGTATATTCGTGTCGCACGAAATACGGAAAAGGCTGAAGAGTGCTTTGAGAAGGCGAAGATGTCGAGGGAAGAGGTCGAGGGGAAACAGCAGAATAGGGAGCTGAGGGTCAGGGCTATCGAGCTTTTTGATGCGCCTAGCTATGAAGGTAATGGTTATGGTAGTCTTTAAGGTAAAATAGATAAATCAGAAGATTCTTTAAGCTGAAAGCATCCTAAGTCAGGGTTTTCTAAGATTACACGGAAAATCTTTCTCGTCTTTCTCACATTGCTCGCTGCCATCAGCGGACGCGCTCTCAAAATCTACAACTCCGGCTTGGTAGAAGTCGAGTTCTTGACCTTTGAGATCTTGAAGCCACCAGGCGCCTGAGTCTGGAACATGCCCTTGGGGTCGTACTTCTTAGCCGCAGCCCGGATCTTGGCGACGTTGGCGGCGCCGTAGCTACCGAGTGGGTCCTGGTAAGCGTCGGCGTAGTTCAGGTACTGCCAGTCTACCAGAGCGTCTTGACTGGCTGCGAATCTTTGCATGTCTTCGGTGACGGCCCTGAGCGCCTCCCTCGCGATGACTTCGGTCTCTTCTCCTTTGACAGCAATATCGAAAAGAAGCATGACTGCGTTATCCTTTACGAGATCGAGACCCATGACGTTACCACCGCGTTCCTTGCTGTGCTCGGCAAAGATGGTCGGGATGGCTTGGAACATGCACTGGGTAATGAAGTCTCCGTCGGTACTGATCGCCTTCCATGACTCGACGAATTTGGTGTGCGCGTCGACGATGTACTTGAATACGGTGGCATCGTTCTTGAAGGTCATGGTGAACCAGATGTCACTAGAATGGTCAGTTTGATCACTTTATAGCATTCAGGATGACATACCGGTATCCAGTAGGTTGTTCAAGCTCGTCGGTAAGGTTCTTGTGGCTTGCCTTCCTTGTGGTGTCGGATAGAGCAGGGATAGCCATGAATTTGTCGAAGCCTGCTGGAGCTACGTTTCCGGCAACATCCTCGTATGCGGCAATGATGACGATATCCTTCATGGCGGGTAGGTAGCTCCAGAACACGATGCTGGAGCCGTCAGGATAGTTCTCGACATTGTCGACCCATGCCGTGTAAGCATCGACGTGTTGCTGTGTGTGGTTCTTGTCATGGACCCTCACACCGCCCCAAAGGTCCCCGGCGGTGAATGTCTGCACATCGTAGCGAGTGACGATGCCGAAGTTGAAAGATCCACCCTTGAGGGCTGTGAAGAGGTCGCTGTTGGACGTAGCGTTCACGTTGACGATCTCGCTTCTTGATGTTAGCGACGAGTCATGTGTGTTTAGTGATCATGAGAAGGAGTACTGACCCATCCGCAAGGACAACCTCGAAGTTCTGTACCTGATCACAAGCAAAACCCCTTCGCGCAGTATAGAAAGAGTTTCCTCCTCCAGTTAAGAAACCGGCAACACCAACACTGCTTGCGCGTCCACCCGCAACAGTGACTCCGTGAGGCTCAAGTGCTCCATACACGCCGCCCCATCGGGTTCCAGGCTGGAATCGTGCGAGGTTTGCTGCTTCATCATAGATGGTCGTGTTCATGAGACCGAGGTCGATTGTCACGCCATCATTAATGTTGTTGGACCCGGCCCAGGTCGAATGACCACCACTTCGAACGGCAAACTTGCAGGTGCTTTGCGCACCCAATGTCTTAACCGCAGTCGACACTTCTTCGGTAGATACCGGTTGGACAATGCAGTTGGGTTGCAATTGAGCACTCACTGACCAGTAAGATGCAGTACGGTTCTTGTACTGTTCATCATTTTCGTAAAAGACGTTTTTCAGTCCGGCAACCTCCAGAGATGTGCACTATAGCCGGGTCAGCAATGGTCAAAGTTTGACTAGGGAGTACCCGTCACGCACGCAACTGTCATTCTTACTGCCAAGGACCACGTTCTTGATGGCACCGAACTGGGCTTCGGCGTGTAATCCCAAAGATGCAACAACAGCCGGGGCAAGGAGCTTCATGCTGTTTCAACTTTAAAACTTAGTACACTCGAAAAAGAGGATGTTGGACCGATGTGCCGGGTCAGTTGGGTTTTATTGCCGCCGTTGCTGCAGAGTTACCATGCCAGCGGCGGCTAACAGCATCCGAAGGAGTTATCGCTCCAACTTGGCACTTAAACCTGAAAAGTTCTCCTCCTATGCGGCTCTTATGCGGATCTTAACATGTATAGCAGAACGGTGCATATTCAGCTGCTGTTCTAACACGTGGTGCGCGCATCAGCCTGAAAGAGGGGTGTGCTCCTTTGGTCCCTGAAGAACGAGACAAGGACCCCAGATATTTTGATCGATATGATAGGCAAACAGCATCCCTGAACACGGGACGGTCAAATAGAACCTATCACACCCTGCACCAAGGCCGCGGGCGGTCCGAACGCAAGACCCACAAGTTACGGTAATAGCTAGTGTCGGCCTTACCCGTCGGGGTTTCGACCCTTTCGATCTGTAGGAGCAAATCCTAACCTCATCGCACGCGTCAGCATCGACTCTTCGCTTGCATCGCGGCCAATTATCGTGCTTCAGAAATGCGGATCTGAGAGGTGTTCACCATGACTCTAATAACAGCATGTCGGGTATCGCATCTCCCGATTGATCCTTCAGTGGGTACTGTGGGTGAACCAGGCGAGTACTGAATCGTCTTGTGGAATAGGGCATGGAGGCCTTTTATACAGTCTGAGGCCTTATATAAAGTCTGAATTGGTTTGAAGTGGTCTGAAGTCAGTAGACCGGCAATGAAATATATGCCGAGCGTGGTCTTCCCAATCACATGAAGATGCCATATCTGAGCAAAACCCTGGACCCCTTCTCGGTAGTCAGTGCGCCTATGATTCCGTATCGAGGTCAAAGGTCTGGCGAGGAAGTCAAGTTTTCCGAGACGGGCCTTCATGTTCAGGCGAGTACTTCGATGCGATCGACGTCAATATCGTCCACATCCACTTCACATCTGATCCGCCCCTGGACTGGAAACTTAGCGCAAACTTGGCCGTCGAGCCTCCACAATCTTATGTGTGAAGCACCTCCGCCTGCTAGTCGAAGAAAAAGGTTTCAAGGGTTCTAAGCGTGCATGCTCTCCCTCGTTGGAGTATCTTTTTAGTTGCCGCTCCCGAGACCGTCGTTCATCAATCAACTATCCGTTATTTGGCCAACGGTTGCTACGTCATGTCGACAGTCAACGGCGTCACAACAATTATCCCTCCACCCGATGGCTATGAGGTCGACTTTGCGAACCCACAGCGGAGGCTGGTGACGGAGACGTATGTGATCTTCATTGTCGAGAACATTCTGGCACTTGCGTTTCTGGGACAGCGGCTCTACACTAAGATCCGGCTCATGAAGCAATTCCAGATTGACGACGGTATGGTGTCCGACATCAGTGGCGTGGGGATTCTTCTGACAGAGGTTAGCTTTGCTCCTCCTTGGTTGGGCCTGTTCAGTCGGTACTCAAGGTATTTTGATTACCGGATTTGCGACCGGTAGTATCGGAGTACACGCCTGGGAGATTTCAATTGAGAAATATGGCTTTTATTCGCGTGTAAGCAGAAAGTCTTTTCCTAACCTTCCTTCGTCGCGTATGTGCTGACTCGAGAACTTGACAGCTCCTTCTGGCCGCCCCAGTTTTGTATGCTCCCTGCACAGCCCTGACAAAGGTCGCACTCTGCATCTTCTACAGTCGTCTCTCCCCGTCCGTAGCCTTCCAATGGGCCGTTTGGATCACCCTTTTCGTCTGCGCTGGTTCATATACAGCGGTCTTCTTCAGTTTGATATTTGCTTGCAAGCCCATTGCAGCTAGCTGGGACCCTCTACTGCTCGCAACGGCGACATGCGTCAACAGAGGGGCAATCTATATTGCCACGGCTGTAATCGGGATTGTGACGGATGTGATGCTGATATCCATCCCTATTCCGACCATCTGGGGGTTGCAAATGCCGACAAAACAAAAGATTGGGCTGACGATCATGTTTTGTGTTGGATCGATGTAAGTGTCCACCGGGAAGGAAAGTCATGTTAAGGCCCAATGCTGACTGAATGAAGCACAATGGTCACTTCGATCATTCGCCTTGTTGTGCTGATCCCAGCTTTGACAGACATGGACCAACCCTGGATCATAGCCGTGGGGTGTTTATGGATGTAAGGCCTCTGTTATTCTGTCCCTAGCGTTATGGGTTCTATGAACTAATCACAACACAGCGTCGTCGAATCGAACTTGTTCGTCATATGCTGTTGCTTGCCGACCCTACGACGTTTCCTTAAACACGCGGCGCCGCGATTAGTCGGCGAGAGTCGGGGATCTGAGAACAAAGATTCCTCAGGTCGCAATCGCGGGCTGCGCACCTGGGGTAGTGATGGACACTCCAAGCGCAAGTACGATACATTGATGCGCACTGTAGACGGCACGCAAAGAGACGGCGACGACGAGATTCCTCTTGCTGGTGTGGCACCTAAAGCTTCGGATGGACGAGTGGCCAAGATGCCGACCGGGAACGTCTCCTTCAAGGGGGACAACGATAGCGAGGAAGCTATCCTGTACGAGCGGACCGTCCAGGTCACATATGAAGGGGGTCACGGAGGCGACCCTGCAAATCCGTACACACGTCAGGTCTGGGCAGACGGGGATCTGGCACCCAGGGCCCTGTAAGCTTCGCTCCACGCTTGACGCTGAAGATGCGATTCTCGTTATGATTGCTTGCTTACGACGTTGTGACGGTTTTATGGATACCCAAGGCATTTAATCAAGGGCTGGGTTTACGATAGAGCGGGTCGATGTCGGATGCAGGGCTGGTACCAGGTAGGAGTTAGAGGGTACTTGATTTTCAGGGTAAAAGATTACATAATCACCATGTCATAGCAAGTCGCGGTTGTTGTGGAGCGCTAGTACGCGTCCGCCTCCGCACCATCACAACTTCTATCAGACATGTCTTCTTCCACAACCAAAGCCGTCGTCCACAAACCTCCAATTCGACCATTGGTCGATAGGGCATCTGTGATCCTCTATGGAGCTATCCAATCCGATCCCAGCAAAGACTGGCAGGCTCACCTCACAGCCTTGCTCTCCGACCTCCCCATTGCTATCCTGAATCCACGCCGAGATGATTGGGACAGCAGCTGGATCGAAGACATATCGTTTGCGCCATTTAAAGAGCAGGTGGAGTGGGAGATGGACTATGCGCGCATAGCCGATGTTATTGTTTTCTATTTCGCAGGTGAGGCTAAGGTCTTACAGCCCATCACGCTGCTGGAACTAGGACTGTATGCCGGAACAGGCAAGGCGATTGTTTGCTGTCCAGAGGGTTTCTGGAAGAGGGGCAACGTACAGATGGTTTGTGAGAGATACAACATTGACTTGGTGGAATCGGTCGAAGAGCTGGGTCATAAGGTACGGGCAAGGCTGTTGGCCAAGCTTCCTGAGGGGTCAACCACTGCACACCCAGAGAACGCTGTGTGACATTGCGTCGGTTTTCTTTTGCACTCCTAACCACTCACGGTCAATACTTCAAGAAATGCGCCTCAAGGCTGTTGTGTTCTGGTCATTCGATTTCTAATTGTTCAGCTGCCAAGAAAAGCCACAGTATTGCCGCTCGCATTGGGTCTTCTGCATTTTCCGCTTAGCCTTGTGTAGCCTGACAGTATGGCTAACCATCCAGGTCGTTTGTTTTTGCGAAATTGTAAGATTGTACGAGCGAATCGTAGCTTGACATTGCAAGCCGTCGCATCGTGGGGGTCCAGGCCCAACGCCGTGTTCAGCGACCGGCCTCCAGCTGAACTGCGGCTTTGCGGATCTAGCCGAAAACTGATTTACATCAAGAAAACCTAATTCAGAACCAAAGCTGAGTTTCGCGGTATGTCATACCAGATTGGTAACATCTGCATCTGAGGTCTTTACGCGCTGCCTGTTGAGCTCTGCATTCGTCTTCCCACACCAGTTATCTTTAACTCAGCCGTATGCGCTTTGCGTGCAGGTTGTTCCAAAGTTACCAAGCTACATAACGACAATGTCAGGAGATCTTCGACTTCTCAGTCTCGATGGAGGAGGCGTACGTGGTCTGGCTTCACTGTACATGCTGAGGAAGATACTATCCTTGGTTGGTAGTCCAAAGCCATGTGTCTATTTCGACATGATCTGCGGTACGAGTACAGGAGGCTTGATTGCGATCATGCTTGGTCGGCTGGAAATGTCTGTCGATCAGTGCATTGAGGCGTACACCGAACTGATGGACGTCGTCTTCGATCCGAAAGACAGAAAACTACCTTTTAAAATTCGAAATGGTAAAGTTCAGCCTCGGTACAAGACGAAATACATGGAGAAAGCGATCAAGCAGGTCATGTCCAATGCTGGGTGGACATCAGATGATAGGTTCAGAGGGTCGAAGACCTCAGCTTGTAAAACGTAGCGTCCTAACGTTCTTCGTCTCGGGGCCATACGCTGACTTAGCAAGGGTTGTGATCGCCATGACAGAAGAAAGCCGTGTCCCGATACGCTTCACCGATTATGAGAAGGCCGGCGAGCATTCCAACTTCTACAACGAAGTCAAGATCTGGGAGGTAGCTCGTGCTACGTCCGCGGCAACATCATTTTTTGCACCGATGGAAATCACGCACTCCGGTGAGCCTAGGCGGTTTCTTGACGCAGGTATCGGATCCAACAATCCCGTCGACGAGCTATATCTCGAAGCGATGTCGCTGTTCGACAAATCTGAAGAAGACTTCGACAAGCAGATCCGAGTGCTGGTATCAATTGGTACCGGCAGACCAGCATTACACGGATTCGGCGAAAAAGTCACCGAGGTCGCGAAAAGCATTGCTTCGATCGCAACAGAGACTCAGAACACAGCGAACAGATTTCATCGGACGCATAACAAGTTGGCGAGCCGGGGCGGATACTTCAGGTTCAATCCTCCTGACCTCTCTGATGTGGCGATTGACGAAGCGAGCAAGAAGGGCATCATTGCGTCACGAACTGATACGTATGGCAATGATGCGCAGATTATGGAAATGGTGGAACACTGGGTGAAAGTGGCAGGAACTGAGAAAAGTGCGTTGACTCTCGCTGTTGCTGAGGAAATGGATTTTACATAAATAGTTTCCCAACTCGGCTATTTTCCATCGTACATAGATCAATGCTAACCACTATCATACAATAGAACAAGTTCTTTCGCCAACTCCATCTGCCACTCACATCCAGCCCGCTGCAACGAAACTGTTCTATTCGCTGCACAAAGGACCTAAGTACATCAAAGAGTATGCGCCATCATACTGGCAACATCTAACGCTGGACTCATACTACGTGTACGAAACAATATACGACAGATGCGATCCCCGGGACAGAAAAGTTACTTGTACGTACCACAGATCCAACATCAAGCTCCTAACAACACTGACAACTCCCCAGTCAGCGCTTTCTTCGAGCAATTTGGCCAAGATCCAAAACCATCATCTAACCACGTCTTCGAAACCTGGGCACGCCTTCTCCGAGACAAGCGCGACGTGCGCAACAGTATACATCGGAAGCCATTTGTTATGGCAATATTGTACATGCTCCATGTTGAATCTAGTCTTGATGTCACCAAAATGACAAACATAGACCCTAATCGACGCGAGATGCTCAAGCGGTTCTCAAAATGGGTGCCATGCAAATGTGACGCACGCTGTGGCCGCGAATGGAACTTTGTCAACGAAGTCGGGCTATCGCGCGGCGGAAATGGTGGTGATGAATGTGATCTTCTGCAGTTATTCGACGATAGCAAGTGGAAGTTGATGTTCAAGAGCGATAAAGTGCGGAAACTAGAGGCGACCAGGAAGGTATGGGAAGCATCGATGTGAGATGAGGGGAGTTTTTGTTTGCTGCTTATGTTCATTGGAACTAAATGATAGTTGTATCAGGGTCGAATTTTGGCACTAGAGGGATATATGGGGTCATTCGCGTCATCTCCACTAATGATATCTCGCTAACCATGTCCTTCATGCTCAGTCTAACGTGCATCGAGGACGCCAATAGAGTATTCTTGTAGCCATTACAGGCTAATGTGAATAGAATCTATTGCCAAAGCTGCTGCCCGATTCGTGAACTGTCGACATCGGCCGTAGCATCTCACTCGCAGTGGGCCCAGACCAGTCACTAGGAGCCTCAGATGGCGCCACGTTCGGACTCGCTCCGGGAGGCGTCAGGCCGCTCCACGAGGCCATGATCTCGTCCCGAGAGCCGCCATATGAGGGTATGATCTCGGTACGGGGACCTTGAGTAACAGTCGGCTCGTATGGCAGCTGAGAAGGCCTGTTGTGTTGAACAATATTGATGTTATCGGGTCGCCTCTTCCACCAACAGAAATATCCGATTAGCAGAGCGATGACAACTACAACAATACCAGCCACCGTTATAAGAGCAATTGCAGTGGTACTGATTGGATTGCTCTTGCCGCTGCTGCTGCTACTGCCACCACCAACCGGAGGACTGTTGCTTCCGGCGGTGGGCTGAGGCCCACCGCCAGTGATCGATCGAAGGACATCATCGATTCCTGTGGTTTCGGAGTCCACGGTCTGAACTGCTCCTCCATCCGTTACTGTCGCAAGCACGAGTATGTCGTCTGAAGCTGTTCCGCATGCCCATGAGTAGAATGTATCTGTGGCGCTAAGGGCAGCGCTGCGGGCATAGCGGAAGCATTGTTGCGCTTGCTGTGAACTGTATTTTGAGATGAGCATCCATTCTACCATGAAAGGTCTAGAGGGCATACCATTGGAGAATTGAGCCATATATGGACGTGCAGGTGTCCTCTGGAAGGGCATAGCCAAAACAATCGGTCTGACCGTACGGCCGGCAAGTAGTCCAGTCATCGAGACACTCAACATTGTTGCAGCATGCAAAGCCGAGCTCAAGGTGCTGTGTAGTGATACAGTTATAGTTCTCAGCACATGTGACAGGTAATGCTGTTCCAGGTTAGACAATGACCGCTTCGCAAGGTGAAGACCAATGTACCTGAGTTGCCACGAATGAACCCGCATGTCGCAATGGATCTTTTGAATATATCGTCATGTAACTTAGGAGCCGGCGTGATGAGGCTCTCTGGTATCGCTACCTGTACTCCTGTCGCCCGCACTTGTGGATTGGGGATGTTTTTTCCAGCGACCAGCGCGCCGATGCTCAAGGCACAGAAGCGGAGACTTGTTCGTATCATGATCTACGGTAAGGCGGTATAGAACAAGTTCGTGTGGTGTTGTAAGTGGCAGCGAGGAATGCAGTTCGTGCACATGCGCTGTATCTGTCTCTACCTGCGGCTACCCTTGTTCCACGAGCTGAGAGAGCAAAGTATCAGCCTTCATGCGCAAGTATGCGTGTGTAGCACATCGGTCTGGCCGAGCGCCACCAATAACGATATCTCGTATCTTTGGGTATCATGGACGCCGACGGCTTGTAGGACCTTAGGTTAAGCGTGGGGTAGCTCATGCGAGCCTGTTGAAACACCTACAGGCAGCAATGTCAGCCGCAGTCCGAACGGACCTATCGCGACGATTTTTTTTCCTGAGCGCTTGTGTGGAATGAGTAATAGTCAAGTAGTGTTGTACGCTGATCTGTAATGCCCAGGTTGTTTGCGAGAATGACAACCTGTTCGTGCGATCAGGTCCTAAATGTCAAATTCCGCAAGGCTGAACCGAAGAATCGATTGCAGCGCGATATCACTAATGAAGCGCGAGGGCCATTGGAAAGGCACATGCTGGGTATTGAGCTTGGCGGGCTGAACGTTTGCCTCAGGGATGAGCATGGCGGAATTGCAGCTGCAATGCGCTGTGAAACGTACTCCCCTGGCGCGGTGCAATCGGAAAGTAGCCTTTGCGATTTGAGTATCGCACATAGCCCCTAAAATGACACCGTTATTGGCTCTCAGCTCTCAAAAAGAGCATATGCTGAGAAAGCTGTTGCATATGGAGGAGGCAACGGGGCGGGCATTCGGGCGTTGCCTATCTGGCAGTGGCGCTAAGTCACATGCGGCGCTACTGCACTCCAGCTTCCTCGAAGCCGCCCGATGTTAGCTCTCAAATCCTTTCGCCGAACGTGAGAGTCATCGGAAAGATACTGTTTGATTACCAATGCTACGATAAATGATCCTGTGGAATACCGAAGACTACACGGGAGCGCCATGACATGCTAAGTCGTCAGTCAGTATGCTCTACCTATAGAGTGTATGGCTCCTGCTTCCATGAAACCCTTCTCTCATCCCTCATCCTATCAAATCTCATCACACTCTGTAGCAAAACCTGAGCGCCTAGTGCGCAGTCCTCTTCCTTGCAAAATTCCCTTGGGTTGTGGCTCACTCCTTCCCTGCACGGCACGAAGATCATGCTCGTTGGGCAACGCTTACTCGCATAGACGCTATCATGCCCAGCCCCAGAGGTCATCTCCATAGACTGATTGGGACCGAGAATGCTGCGCGCAGACTGGCTGACAGACGTGATGCAGTCTGCGTGGAACTTGGTTGCTGGGCTATCGAAGTCCTCGACAATCTCAACACTTAGTGGGAGGCCGCTCGTGCAACCGTGGTTTGAACCTTCAACATCTTCGCCTGCGGCGATCTTGGGGAAGTCGCGGAGAACTAGTTCCTTCATCTTTGCGACTGTCTCATCTTTTGGTGCCCTAATGTCGAGACTGAAAGTTACCTCGCCTGGTACTGTGTTTGTCGAGCCAGGCTTTAGGTTAAGGATACCTGTAGATGCTAGTGCGGAGTTGGCGGTTGCAAGACGATGGGAATGAAGGATCATTTTGCTCGCTGTCAACAGCGCGTCAGCTCGCGACTTGAGATCGGTAGTTCCGGTATGCGTGTCCCGCCCTTTGACTTTGATAGTCATCCATTTGTAGGCTTGCACTCCAGTGACAACTCCAATCTTCTTGTTTGCCATCTCTAGCAACGGGCCCTGTTCGATATGAAGTTCGAAGTGCGCCGCCATTGGCATGGCCTCATAACTCGCTGGTGTACTCCCCAGGTAGCCAATACGCTCAAGCTCAGACTTCATGGTTGCGGTTCCAGGATGAACTTCGCGAAGGTTATGCGCCGTTTCAAGAGGGATAGAACCCGCCCAAACCCCGCTAGACACCATCGACATGGGAAACCGGGCGCCCTCCTCGTTGGTCCAGTTGACCACACCGACAGGGTACTCGGTCTCCGTCCAATTGTCAGCGAGCACTCTGAGCATCTCCACGCCAGCAGTAACACCCAAGATTCCGTCGTACCGCCCGCCAGTAGGCTGCGTGTCCAAGTGGCTCCCCGCGAAGGTAGGTGGTTTGTCGTTCCGAAGACCGGGTCGCACAGCGAACTGGTTTCCCATGGCGTCAACGGTGACTTCACAGCCAAGCGCCTTTGTTGTCTCTGCAAACCAGTCACGTGCGGTTTTGTCGGCATCAGAGAGCGCCAGTCGTTTCATGCCTGTTTCCGTTGGCTTTCTACTACCATTAGCTGCGTGGTTACTCACTATTCAGACTACTTACTCGCCCCATGGCTCGCCTATTCCCCATTGGCACGTGTCGTGTATATCCTTCATCAGTCTCTCCTGGTTGACTTTCAGATCTCTCATGGAATCATCATTCATCTCCTTCGTTCTGATGTGCCATTGTGGCGAACTAGAGAAGCATCTAACATGTTTGCATGCTATCCCTGCTCTTGGAGTAGGTACAGCTCTCGGTGCGGGGTAGCGACTGCTTGCAATGCGGAGTGCAGTCGGGAATCTGTTAGCCAGCAGAGCCATTATGTGAGGAAAGGTGAGGAAGAAGAGAGATGGAAATCATGGCGGCACGGGTCATGGAAGTCGGCATCTCAAAGGATAACATGACATGACAGGCGCCCAGTCGTAGGGAAGGGGCGGGTCGGATGTCCGATAACAGTAGTGCGGGACTATCCCGCTTTCTAATATGCAGGTTATCCGTCGGCTAATGAAAGCATGCGAACACATGATGATAAGACGAATGTAAGGGTCCTGGGTATAAGAGTGCCAGTTCATGATTCTGCCGATTTGTATCAGAACGATGCCGAACTCACGGAGCTGAACGAGTACGCCTGATGTGTTAAGAGTATGTGTATTGGTATGGGGTATCTATAGTGTAGCTTGTCCGTAACGCCTTTATATGCTGCTCAAATCAAAATGCCTCCGCGACTTTTTAGGCTACAAGACAAATCTCAGACAGCCTTGCCTTTCCCTTTTCCTTCGACCACTGGCTTCACGTCCTCCTCAGAAACCTCATCCTCTTCTTCGCTGTCGCTCATGAACTCATCATCTTCGTCATCCCACCCAAACATGGCCCGTTGCTGTGCAGGTTTCGACGAAGAAGCGATTGGTTGAGCCTCGTCGTCTTCTTCCTCTGAGCTGTCTCGTTGCCCCATGAGCATCTTCTCGATAGCTTCTCGCGTCTTGTTCTCTGCTTCCTCTTTATCCTCAACCCACTTTCCATCGAGACGTGCTGTGCCCCTGCTGTTCTGAAGCTCTTCTTGCTTTCGCTCAGTGCTAGCCACAATGTCCTCCCACTTTTTCCGTCGCTCCTCCTTTTCGCGCTGCTCCATCTCTGGCTTGATTGCGAGGTATTCGGCAAGCACCTTGGCTTCAGTGACTGTGCGCAGGCGTCGCCCGTCCAAGTTTCGGGATGATCCGTTCACGTCGCCCTGCTTCTTCTTGCGCGAGGACATGCGACCACCTTGGGCGCGCAAGATGGATCCGAAACCACCTTTGCCACCACACAGCGGTACAGTCAGGCGTAAAGACAGGAAGGTGTCTGTAGGCGAAGATAGAAGCGACGACACGGGCGCGGCGTCATGGCGTACGGAGCGGCGCGAGTTGGTGGTCAGGATGTAGGATGAGTTCTGGACCCATGGTGCGCGCTCGTAGAGTGTGTCGTAGATGGAAGTAAGAGGCGCATCCTTTTGCGTTGCAAAGGCGATGTTCTGCCCGCGGATGCTATCGACGATGACGGTGATGGGGGACTGGGTGGCGGCGTCCATGGTTGCGACTGGGTGTAGCGTATGTCGCGCGTGCGGGATGAAAACCGCGAACGTTTTAGAATGCGATTTGGAGGGGTTCACACTGCTTCGAGTGAAAGTTGTTTGTAGATGGGTGGGTGGTTTGGTGAGGAAGCGGCGAGCGATTGACTCTTTGGAGATTGGGGACAGGGCTTGGCGGCACCGCAACAGCTGGTCATAGCGCTCGCTTAGACTAGCTTCGCACCCATCACTCGAAATCGTCTGTCCACCAGCGAACTTCTGCCCTCATCGACCCTCAACCACAACTCTTAGCATCCCCGAGTCTTTCGCAAACCGTCAAGATGCTTATTCCCAAGGCCGACCGCAAGAAGATTCACGAGTTAGTCTACCTCTACAACAAACAATGCCACGGCGCATTCGAGCTCTGAGTTTCGCACGAAATGATACGACTTGATATGGGCTGAGCTACACTTGACTCCCTTCTATGTAATTGGACAAGCTTGCTAATGTTTTCTCTCTCCAGGTACCTCTTCCGAGGTTAGTATCCCCGCGCACTCGAGCCATGGCTATGGCACAATTATACATTTTCGCGGCTTTGCTGCATATAAGGATAGGCTGACACACGGTCACCACAGAGGGAGTTCTGGTTGCTAAGAAGGACTTCAACCTTCCCAAGCACGGCGAGATCGACACCAAGAACCTTTACGTTGTCAAGGCTTGTCAGTACCACCAACTGCACTGCGACATTGTCGGGCCCTAACAGACAACAGGCCAGTCTTTGACCTCGCGCGGTTACCTCAAGACCCGCTTCTCCTGGCAATGGTACTACTACACCCTCACCCCTGAGGGTCTCGACTACCTCCGTGAATGGCTCCACCTCCCCGCCGAGATCGTTCCCCAGACCCACATCAAGCAGCAGCGCTCTGCTCCTCCCCGGGGTATGCTCGGCGGCGGCGACGACCGTGAGCGCCGTGGTGGCGGCCGTGGTGGACGTGGCGGTGACCGTGGTGGTGACCGTGACGGCTACCGCCGCCGTGACGCTGGCGAGAAGGCTGAGGGTGCTGCCCCTGGCGAGTTCAAGCCCGAGTTCCGTGGTGGCTTCGGCCGGGGACGCGGCGCTGCTCCTGCTTCGTAAGCAGTTGAGGGCTTTCTGGAGTAAGGCTAGATACGGTTTCATCTTCATGTCGGGCTTTACTGCATTACAAAATGGGTTCGGATACGGCGAAATGACCGGATGATACTACGAATGGATCGCTTGTCTAAGTTGCGATGATGCAGTCTTGGACGACCATGTCCTCAATGATACCCCATAACCTTCAGTGAACTTTTTTGACTTGCTTCTTGTGAATTCAAGGGCGTGCCTTGCGACAGGCCATGCCGGCTCCTTGTCATCAATGCTACATTGGAGAAGCATGGCACGACATACGGCGCCTTGTCCTTCTTCACTATTTTTTATGACGGAGGAATGTCCGTCTCAATGCCCGCCCTTTCCAGTCTTCATCAACCCATCACCACTCTGCATCCAATTGGCACAAGTCTGCCCAATCGGTTGCCCACCTGACTCCTTCTCCACCAATACCCTCAAGAACTCGAGTCTCTCCTCCACACTCGCCTGGCCATCCTTCCGTCCCTCTTCCCTGTACTGCGTTCTACCCAGCACAGCGATATTCCTCGTACTAGGAATCCTCAGATGCTCCTTCTCAACCACAAACCCAGTCTCCTCTGTTAGATGGCATATCCAACTACACAGACTAGCGTACGCAGAGGGTTGCTTGGGCTTCTTCGACTCCGCCGTCATCGGATCAGGAATGACATGTTTTGCATGCGCCGGCGCGCGGAATCTCGTTCCACCAAAGTCATGCGAACAGCATGGGATGGCGATGAAAGGGGATGAATTGAGGTGAGCTAGTAACGGTGTCCATGGGGTGAGTTCATCGGCGTGATTGCTGATGATGAAGGTGCCGGGTGGGAAGACGCCGTTGTGATGGGATGTTGAGGTGTTGGTAGTGTCTGAGGGAGGTGGTTGGAGGATCTTGGGCACGAGGAGCATCTCTTGCAGTTTCTCGGTGTGGTTTGGTGGGAACGTTTCCCATGTTTTTCTTCGCCGGGCGTCGAAGCCCCAGCCGTGCCAACCTTCGGCGTTGAGGATGTGGACGAGCAGGCCGTTTCCGCAGCCAATGTCTACGAAGCCTGGGAAGTTGGCTTGTGCTATTTTGGTCTTTTGCTCTGCCGCATCTTTCTCTTGTTCCACCAAATTGTCGCCATCGTGTTTGATCCTGTCTTTATTTGGGCCGTACATGTCCGTCCATAGCTGCATGAGAAAAGCAGCAATACCCAGATCTTCAAAGACATGTTTCTCAGCAGGCGTCTGCTCCACCCATCCTTCGATCAAATCTTTCGCATACTTACCCTTCAAGTATGCATACGTGTCCTGGAACCTCTTTTGCCCGATGACTTGATCGTGGTGAACGCGTTTCTTATACCCAGCTCGCGCACCGCGCGAGTGTTTGTGTATGACTTCCAGAAGCTTGAGACCAGTTCGGGAAAGGCGGTTATCCAGAGGTTGGCTAGGAAAGAGGGAATAATGGATAGAAAGGTGTCCCGGTGCGGAGACCAGAGATAGAGGTGAAGATTGAGAGGTTGATAGGAAGTAGGTGTATAGCATGGCCAACGAGCGGACTTTAGGGTGATAGTAGGGTATAGCTTCTGGTGTGATAGCGTGAGGAATGTATACGACCATATACCGCTCTGCTTTGACAGTCTCCTCTTTCTCATCTGAGCTTGTGACAGTGACGTCTTCATGCGATACAAGTAGGTGACAAGTCTGCATCAGCGAGTCATCCAGCTTCGGATTTCGAGGTATGAGTTTCCGTACAACTGTGTACTCTAGCTCGTACCCTTCTATGCCTCCATCGATCAGTTGCGGTCGGCATTCTGGCCGCAGATGCTTGACAATGCTCGCTAGATCCTCTGGAGTACTGGCCTTGGGGTTGAATGTAGCGTCTGCAAAACTTTGGTAGGAAAGTTCTGCGCGCGCAAGATGGGTTGAGGTTCGATTAGGGTTCTCGAGCAGGTTGCGACTGGTTTCGAGAAAGTGCTCGGGCGCAAAGTTTGCCGGCGCGGATTGTATTATAGTCCATAGCTCGGGTGGAAGACCGGTAGAAAACTTGGGTGCACTGGATAGGTCGTGAGGTGAGAACTTGTCACCTGCAAATTCTTGGTCTTTGACTTTTGCCATCGATTGTGCTTCCTGTATTTCGGCATGAGATGCCTCTCCATCGTTAAGCTGTGACAATCCGGGTTCGTCGTCTCCAGGGCGCTCGTCTTGAGCCATCTTGTCCGGTAACTATCTCTTGATCTGGAATAACACTTCCACAATGATAAATTTCAACACCCGCTCAGATTAAGTGATCATCAAATTACGGCGGCCCAGACGATGAACAGAAGCATCCGTCATCGGTAATAGGTCGCTTCGAGGTAGTAGTCGTTGTCTCGATTCTCGGGTTGCGCGGTGGTGATGATGGCGTTGGTGGCAGAGTACAAGCGAGCAAATCGAGGTTAAGTTGGTCCACTACAGCCTCCAAGAGCAACGAACACCCCAAACGCCAACAGCAAATAAAGTAGAACACGCGTTATTTGTCACCTCGCGTTGCGATTCCTGATCGTAATGCATGAATTTCATAATATCTAGGGCATCAGGTCTGGTGGGCAAGTTTAGACTTCCTCTGGTCACAGTAGACACATCTGTAGACTGAGACGTTTACACGCAGCTCCGTATCACAATTCTATCCCGTAGCTGTACTCTATCGATAGTCTATATCCCATAGATCTGATATCTCTCCAATCTCTCCAAATAACGCCCTCACTATGCATTGTATCTCCCTTGTCACATCTCTCACCGCCCATAGTAATGCGCCATCTCGAGCCCCGCCCTCTTAAACCCACACTTAACATAGAACCCCTCATTCGCCTCGGAGCAATCCAAAATAGTCTTGTAGCAGCCCACCTTCTCCGCAACAAAGTCCAGCGCCTGAATGATCCTCAGACCCAGCTTCTTGCCCTGCTGGTCCTTGGCGACAGCAATGTCCTCAATGTGTCCTACGAGGCCGAGCTGATGGATGAATTTGCGCTCGACGATGAGGGCGCCGGTGCCGACGATGGCGTCGGACGAGTCGGTGATGCAGAGGAGGAAGTATTCATCGTTGCGCGCGGACATCCAGTCGTAGCGTTTGTTCCATTGCTGTAGGCAGGTTGGTGTGTCAGTAGTGTGCTGGTACTATGTGTGTTTGCTTCGTATTGGGTGTTGCAGAGCTATGTCTTGCTTAGTGTAGGAGGTCGGGAAGGTTTTCGTACCTCTTCAGTTATATCTCCCACTGTGGTGAGTACCCTCAGTACATCTAGGAAGCCATTGTGGTAGTCTTTCCTCTCGAGCGGTCGGCAGCTGTAACCTTCTGGGAGTGCTTTGAGGACTTCGGGCGAGATGAGCTCGGAGCTGAAGAGCGGGCCTTCGGTCGATGACATCGTGTGTATGGATCGCTTCGAGCTTGTGCGGTGCGACTACAAGTGGCTGATTGGTTTGTGACGGGGTTTGCGACGCAATTGACCAGTCTTCCTAAACCTGGTGCCAACGCGCGGGATTGGGGGTCGCGGGGGTGTTTTGGTGTCTTATCGATAAGCAGGCGGTGAGAAGAAGGTCGCGGCTTTCAAGACAACCGATAGCTTGATGTGAGCTTGTTAGCGATATTTGAGACGTTGAATATACAGAGGCAGTGCAGCGACTTGACTTTCAAGATACTGAGCAAGGTGGCTACAATTTGTCGCTGATACCTGGGCAATGTGCCAAGCATCCAGGAACTAGATCTATATTTGGAACATTCAGGGAAGCTTCGTCATGATCTTCAGGAGCTTCCTCGTGTCGGCTCGTCACGATCGTATTGCGACACTAGAGCATGGACAGAGCCCAGACACAAACCAGAGATATATTTAATGGCAATGCAGATTTATTGAATACCCACACTCGTCCGCCTGTTACTATCTTTATCGCGAGAACTTGGCCTGCCTGAATGCCCTCAGCACGTCCTCAGGCTTCAGATCTCCATCTTCAAGCTCGAGTCCCACAATCTTGGCCAGCGCCTCTGTGAGCTCCGTGTTCTGTCTCTGCAGCAACATGGCCCTCTCCTGCATCCGTGCCATCCTGCTAATCCAACTCTCTTCCTCGAGACCCTCATCATGGCCGCTGTCAATTCCAATGACTGATTCTGGCAAGGGCTCTGGTGTGTGAGCTGGTGTCGGTAATGCTCCAGCGACCGGCTCGGAGTGCTGCTCTTTCTGTTCGGAGTATGTCGGTAATGGCTTGCGCTTGATGCGCTGCAAGTCTCGCAGCTTCCGAGCTCTCGTCTGATCTTCTCGGTTTGACCGTGGCTCGGGCGATACCGCTAGTGGATGGTCATCAGCAGGCACTGACTTAGGTGACTCGGGTGGCCTCTTCGGGTTCCGCGGCGACACGGGAGCTGGCTCGGAGAACGAACGACGCCCGTGGCTGGCCATTATACGCTCTACTTTCGGGCTGGCGAGGGGGTTCGGCGTCTCCTCGTTAAATGTGATGGCGATATGTCGGGAACGTCGTTGTTTTGGAGGTTGAGATGTGGAGACAGCAATCACCTGAGTGTTGCGAGGGCTTTCGGTTGGTATGACGATCCTAAGATGTCGCGCGCCTCCAGACGTGGTCATCTCGCGGGCGCACGTCGGAATAGGCGCCTGTCTGCGCGCTCGCTGAGGAGAGCCTTCCACGGATCCGACGCGAGTAGCCAGAGTCTTGCGCTGCTTGACTTTGAACAACTTCGTTTGCTTGCGCGGTTGTGCCGAAGACTGAGGGTCTGTAGATGGTCCAGTATGTTTCAGGTAGTAACTGAGATCATTCAGGCCCAGATCAGCACTCGCTGTCAGTGCATCGTGGCTGAGAATCGGTGGCGCCAATCGTCCTACCTGCGAGGAACCTACGCGGCCAGCTTGTCCTACGTCAAGGCGTTTTGAGATTCGCTCCTTCGGAACGTGGAGATCACCCTCCAGTTGCTTGTCATCGTCAGACAACGAACATTTCTCCTCAGCCACGAAGACAAAATCGTCTGGCGTGGAGACGGCAGGCTCGATCTGGGTTGGGAAGCTTGGGTTCGTGAGCCGCTTTGGACTACGATCCGGTACTGCTGGTGGTGGCTCATGCATATCTGGCTCACCAATAGCATAGATATTGATAGGCTCTCTGGTTGATACCGGAAGAGCTGGCTCAGGGGACACCGGAAGAGGAACATCTCGTGGGTCTGGTGAGTAGGCGTGACAGATTGCCTCCGATACAGACACTGGACCGCCCGTCTGGCTATCGAAGTATCTCTGGATGATACCAAAAGTACCCATTTCACCAACCTGCTCGGTTTCGGTCTCAGGTAGCAGCTCGCTCATGGTGTCGTAGCTAGCCTTGCGTCGGTGCTTGGCTACCAGTGGCTCAAGTGGCGCATGTCGTGCGGCAATGGTCAGAGTCGGCATCGTTACTTTAAATGGCGTTTGGCGGCGCTGGCGTTTCTTATCTTTTGGGCGACTGATCGGGATGCTCGCGCTTCCAATGCTGGCATTGCGGCCTACACACTCAGAAGACAAGGTGGAGTAAGGCTCGTAAGTAAGCACTCTGGCCAAAGGGACGGAGGATGAGCGTCGATTTGGCCTGGCTGATGGTTGATAGACCTCAAGTGACGAAGGTGACGAGGACTCTTTGGAGGCAAGCTCGATTGCATCTCGAGACTCGATTTTGGTGGACCCCCGAGCTGTATGGGACGCTGTCGACGAGCTACAAGCACGTGAACTCGTAGCGATACGATTGTTGCTGAGTGAACGAAACCCTTGAGACGTTCTGGGACGTGAGTAGTTCTCCTTGAATTTCTTGGAAGGTTGGTAGACGTCGAGTGGCTTCGAAGACCGCATCTCGATATCTCGTGGTGTATGGTTGAGGAAACTGCCTTTGCGTCTTTGTTGGCACCCAGACTCATCTATAAAGTACACCGGTGGTGACAAGCCATAGCCAGTCGGTGGAGTCCCTGCAGTGGTCGGCGGTGTGTTTTCGTCCTGCGTCGATGCCGTTGAATTGCGCTTGAGCGACTCAGACGACACGCTTGTGTTCATCTTACATGTCTCCCCCAACGTCCCAGTATATTCAAGAACACTCCATCTGACATTCCCGAACATTGGGAATGAGTTCAAGAGGTTTTCAGTCGAAGCAGACGACATCATGGTTACAACCTGGCTGCTAGTTACCCTTGAAGCCGACTTTGGAGCCGCAGTCCTCCTTCAAATTCGATGCCTAAACGCGAGCTGTAAGTACGGCTTAGCAGGGAACGCTGGCTCAGATTGTGTCACAGCCAAGAGATGGGTAACTCAGCAGACGCAGTAGTGTTGTATCTCACGAAGACCGCTGATTGTTGGCTGTAACCCCAAGCAGGGGTAGATGAATGGTAGGCTTCGGTGATTGGCAGAGGCGGCGTGGGATTGGCTTTAGTGTCTAGGAAATATGGCGACCAGCAGCTCTCTTCGCGCCCAAGCTTGCTGCAGATAAGACAATTTCTCGGATTCGAGAGGAAGAAAGATATGTAGTGTAATCAGGGGCGGGTCTGAGTGTAGGGATCACTTCTCGAGCTCGTGATGCCGTGAGGTGAGCAACGTGACACTACAGCGTATTGATAGCGAAGCCGGTAGCCGTTAATGAAGTCGCATAGATCGGGAGACGTCTTTGCCTCGGGAAAAGTTGAGAATGATAGGAGTAGCATCCAAAAGTATCGGAATCTCCGCGACGCAAAGGATGTTTGCATCCGAGAAGCACAAACTTTAATTGTTTGCCCACAAAACATTTTAGAAATCGCCGCGGAACTCCAGCTGCAAGCCAGCCACGATCTGGAGAATGTGCTACTGGCCGATGACAATAATTGGGCGCATGGATTTGTTCTAAGAGTGCGCAAAGGTGATTGGTGGCGATGTAGTACATGTAGAGATCGAGGGCAGTGCGGCTTGCTTGATCCGGCGACGAGGGGAGCGCCCTGCTGATATCGCGCTTTGATGAAAGCTGGGGCATATGCCAATACAGGATGATGCGCGACAAGGACAGTCGATTCCTGCTTGGAGGATGTGGAGTGAGTGCAAAATTCAATAATTGAGATGGGCGGTGTGCGTCACGGTGGTACAGGAGTGCCTGACTAGCCTGAGGAAGTCGTGGCCCTCGCGCATTTGCGAGGCTGCGACCACGCACAGCCGTGATCAATGCACTGCGCTCAGATGTCTAGAAGACGCCGAACTGCACGTTATAGGCTAGATCTTTCGGGAAAGACGTACGGTAGTTCACACTCGACGCGATTCAGCTCACGGCATGCACGTCGATCATTACCTGCCAGATCTCAGCCACAGAGCGCCTCTTTGGGCATCGTGGCCGATCTTCATCTGATACGATATCAGGGCATATGGCCCCAGAAAGAAATAGTGTCGGATAGCTAGATATACATGAAGATGCGACATAACGCCAGGCAATGCTGATGAAAGTGTCCGCCGCGCGAAAAGGTGCCATATACTACCAGAAGTAGCCTGTCACCAAGTCATATACACAAGGAAATAATGTTGCTCCAGCAGCTCCCATTGGCCAGATGATGTATAATCAGCCATTCTTTGGCTTCTTGTTCTTGATAAAAGGGTTTGGTGGTTCGCGAGGTCGTCTGCGGATCTTAGGCTTTGCCATCGACATGCCGCCAATGACATCTCCCGGCGGAGGAGCGACCGCGCTGTGCGTTCCGTTAGTCGTCTCTCCACTAGGCGTCGAGCTCTTGCGTTGGGCATCGACCATGCCAGCAGGCGTTGATCGCCCACTGCCACCATTCATAGTGTTGGAGGCAGAGTCAGATGGAGCGTCTTCCATTTCGGCGTCGCTACTCTCGTGCTTGATTACGCCTGCGTCGTTGCTGTCTTGAAACTTGCGTTTTTCGTGATGTACTAGTGTCCGTTCGTTCTTCATCTCAGACTTGATCTCTTGCTTGATAGCCTTGGGTGCTGAGTCTGAAGAGGTAGTAGACTGGTTGCTGGCCGCCCTACTCATGGGCTCTGACTTTACTTCTAGCTTGACCTCTGGTGTGGGACGATTAGGTTGCACGTAACCCTCCTTTGGTGCCGGGAACTTGCTGGAATGCTGGTTCAGCATCTTTGGCACATCTTGAGCGGAGAACCGCTTCCTCTCCTTGGCGTCTACTATAAGCTTCTTCCAGAACTCTCCTCTCATGAGCGAGTCGGAGTTACCCAACACCCACAAAGACGATTTGGCACGCGTGAGACCGACGTTCATACGACGAATGTCCTGGAGGAAACCAACGCCACCTGACGGGGAGGCTCGTACACAGGAGAAGATAATGATCTCGCTTTCACGGCCCTGGAAAGCATCTGTGGTGTTGAAGTCGATGTCTTCGATGATGTTCTGACCGTATGCGTTCATGAAACGCTGTTTGAGTTCGCGCAACTGGCTCTTGTAAGGTGTGATAATGCCAATCTTGCCCTTGAAGTCGTAATCAGGATAGTCAGAAGTGACTCGTTTGTACAACTGCATCGCGACATTGATCTCGGCAATGTTGATAAGCGAATGACCCTTCGGAGCAGCTTGGTGTTGACCCTGGACATCGAAAAAGCGGTAAGGTCCAAGCAGCATGCTCTGATGCCATGGCTGCTTGCGCAGGGTAGCCATGTCGCCACCGTCCAAAAGTCGGCCGTCGTAGAACGTTCGACTGGGGAACAAGCTGATCTCCGGGTGCATACGATACTGGGTGTCTAGTAGATGCACGTCGTCTGGGTGGTTCTTTTGCATGCGAACGAACAAACTCTGCTCGTATTGGAAGGCGGCCGCCTTCTTCGAGAAGACTGTTGGAGGCAGTTGCTTCGGGTCTCCGACCAAGATACACTTAGCGCAACCATACTTGAGGGGGATAAGGGCGCTCATCTCAACACACTGCGCAGCCTCATCGACAATGACGGTTTCGAACTCAATGCTCAGACCCTGGAACATTTCATGTCCAGAGCCGCTGAGTGTTGCACAAATGACGTGTGCGTCGTTCAAGACTGCTTCCTGTGCTCGTCGTCGGTTCAGGTCTGCGTTACGACTGGCGAGCTTCTCGTCATCTTTGACATTGTCGATTTTCGTACCCAGGGCCGTCTTCCGCCTGCGCAACGCGTTGATATCGTCGTCCAGCTTACTCGCAGCTTCGCCTTTGACCTCCCCAGTGTCTCGCTGCTGGTAGGCTTGCTTCAATTGATCGGAGATCTGTTTGTGTTCCTGGAAGAGCTTTTGTGTCGCTTCTCGGTCGTTGCCGTTCGATGGATCTACACCTAGTCGCTTGTTGACGAGCTCTTCTAGCGTCACATCCTGTACACTGGCTTTGATAGCGTCGCCACGGCCTAGACGCACGATGTTGAGTTTGCGCGACTCGCCGCTCAGGGTCTTGATACCGTTCTTGAAACGCATGACCAACTCATCGACGGCCGCGTTACTCGGCGCGCAGACCAGTAGCTTCTTCGAAGCAGCTTCTGAGCGTTGCTGACCCGGAACAGTGATGGCAGTGCCACGGTTGCGAAGACTGTCGCTGAGAATCGCTCCAACGATGGCGGTGATTGTTTTAGTCTTTCCGGAACCAGGCGGTCTGTAGTCTTGTTAGTATCTTAATCGACGACACGCGGATGTTGAAATTACCCTTGGATCAACGTGAACGCATCATTATCAATGGCAGACTTGATGGCCTTTGCCTGCGCCGGGTTCACGTCGTAGTTGGAAATGAGCGGCTGGATCTGGCTATCCTTGTAGGTCAAGAGCGGAGAGGGCTTCGCGCGGATGATCTCGTCACACAGGTCATAGTACTGAAGACCTTTCAGCGCACCGTACTCGCGCTCTAAGGAAGTAATCGATTCGAGTTTGAAGCCGAGGATGGTATTGTTCGGTTGCAGTGAGGTTGACAGAGGATTGCCTGGCACAACCCGGTACGAAACTTCGATGTGCTGCTGCTTCCTCTTAACGCGGAATACCCTGGCAAGACACGTCGGCTCATCTGCAGAAGGCGACTTGGTCCGCGAGAAGAGTATGATGTCTCCTTCAGAGATGAAGACTTCCTTGTTCTCGACATGAGTCATCGTGCTACCGACTTCCTGAAACATGTCGACAGCAGCTCGCGACGTAATTCTTATTTCGTATGGCTTGGACTGGTTTTCCTCACGAGCCTTGACGAAGCCTTGCCATGCCTCCAGCGTCAAAAGAGGCTCGAACGTGTTCTGGTAATCGTTGGGTGTACGGAAAGTACTCAGAACCTTGGAGTACTGGTCCGGCCTAGACTTGGGCGGGAAGTCGCCTTCGTGGAAGTAGTTCCAGCCAAGGATAGTGCGGTGGAGACTGCTGAGATCAGGCGCCAGACGAGCACGCATGTCTTTGGCAGAACGCTGCGCCCTCTTCTTCTTTGTCGGCATCTGAATCTTGACTTCATTGACAATGTTTGTCCTCGGTCCGGTTTTGACCTTAGTCTTCTTGATGCCAAACAAATCTTCATCGATATCACCGTCTGAGTCTGATGATTCATCAGAAGAATGCATCAATCCCTCCCCCTTCGCAGCTTGATCTTTGCCTAGGACACCTAAGCCTTCGAGACCAGAGCCGGCTTCGGCAGTGAGACCTGAACCGCCCCGAGCTGCCTTTGCCTTAGCGATCGCAGCAGCTTTCTCTTGTTCGCGCTTTTGTAGTTCAAGCTGCCGCTTGCGTTTGAAATCTTCCTGGGCACTCTTCTTGTTGTCGTTGAGGGCTTTCAGTTGCGCAGCCTTCGCTTCGACAGCTTTCATCTGCTCACGTCGCTCCTGGAACTTGCTCGAGCCGGAAGTCATGCTCGCCAACAACTTAGCTTTGGCATCTGCCGTAGACTGTGCCGTCCCAGGGGCCATCCATTTGCTGATAGAAGCTTGCTTGGGTTGCGCGGGCTCTTCTTCCTTCACGAGCGGGCGGCCCAGATGCTCTTCAAGCGCTTGTTGCAGCTCGGCCTGTTGCGTACTACTTAGCTTCGCGCGGACGTCTCCCGAGAGAACTCGTTCCATGTACGAAAGCGCATCGGGGTCGATCTCGATAGACACACGATGTAGCCGAACAAGAAGCTTGCTAATCAAAGTAACGGATTTACTAGACAGAAACTCGTCACGAAGACGGAGCCATTTGGCCAGACCCTCCATCGCATTTGCAGGACGAGCAAGCAGCTCTTTGAGTAACGCTGTTTTCGAAGTTGCTTCTTCATCATCGCCAGTCGGTGGTTTCAGCGCAGTTGCAAAGATACTGCATTGGTCGAACAGCACATCAGCAAATTGCATAGTGTCTCGGCAAAAGTCCATCATCATATGTTTGTCGTAGAAACCCAAATTGCTCCAG